CCTTCTGAAAGGGTTAAAAGCTTTCCCGAAAGCCTTGAGCAGGTCACAGCTCATTAATTTCCGAAGAATATTTATCTACACCTAGTTTGGAAATGGCTGCAGACAATGAAACAGCCTTGGTGGCTGTTCTCTGAATATGGATTTACCACTCACATTCAGAAAGGAAACATTCTGGACGCCTGACTGGCACAAAAGCTTTGGATGATACCCTACAGGAAAAAATAATGCCCAGAAAGCCCAGGACAGCTCTGAAGAAAGGTAGTACGAAGAGATAGATCCTGCACTGACCTGTCCAAGTCTCAGCTGACAAGGGCAACCCCTTTGAATTCAGAGAAAAATCAGAAACTCCCCCAGCTTTCTCATAATTTATGTCAGCTTCTAACTGGGAAATAATAACACATAGCTAACACTACTTAAGATATTTTCAGCTTTTCAGTGTCTCCCACTCACGTCTCCGTGGTTCTATGCACTGTGCCAGAGCTCAGTGTGTCAGTCCTCAGTTGTCTTGATACTGCTCTTTCTGGGGCTACTCTATAGAAAAATTAACACAGAGTATCTGGGGTAACCAAAAACAAACAAACAAAAAAAATTGCTTTTCATGTTCGAAATAGCCAGGGTTTATTTTTAACTTTTACTACATACAAGTCCATTCCAAAACTATGAGAAGGTTAAGAATGGTCCGGGATATCTACAGGACTGTTTTTTGCAGGTAACCAAAAACAAACAAACAAAAAAAGATTGCTTTTCATGTTCAAAATAGCCAGGGTTTATTTTTAACTTTTACTACATACAAATCCGTTCCAAAACTATGAGAAGGTTAAGGATAGTCCAGGATATCTGCAGGACTTTTTTTTGTACTCCTCTCTCTTCTTTGGTGAACTCTAGCATCAACCCTATATCCATGTTGCTGTAAGAAACATTGGAAAATGCTGAAGGATGTATGCCTTAGCCTGCCCCAGGCATGGTGAGTTCTCTCTCTCCTTTCTACCTCCTGCCCTCAGATGCTTGCCCAAGCCATCATCTACCCAGTGCTGCTGGCCCAAGGATGGGCATGGCAGAAACTCTCACTTGGGCAGATCTCACTCTTGCTTATATTCTAGCATATAAGCAGGGTTTTTTCATGGCAATTGGCATAGTGGGATGTTCACGTCTGCTTCATAGAGGTACCTGCATATTCCTTCTAGGCCAAGCAAGATCAACTACTGTAACAACACAGTTGCTGCAACTATAAATGAATGAAAATGACTAAAATGCTCTTTTAAACAAATAACTCTTATTTCATTGTAAAAGTGCACAATGTTTGATTTCAGCCCATTTGTCAATTGTGCCTCAAGAAAAGAGCCATGTTTTCAAAAATCTCAAGATATGTACAGACTCCTATGTCATCAGCAGCTCCATCTGCTAAAAGTGCCTCAATGACTTTCACAGTCTAGCCTGAAATTCCTTCTGACCTCATACAAGCATAGGATTTTTTTAGGAGTATTTAGGTGACAAGTATAAGCAGTATTTCTAATCTAAAACACTTATATTGTTTGCATTTTTCAGTGACCATGCTGATGCTAAAATATAATGTTTTCCTTGAGTATATATGTTATAGGTGGCTAGGAAATGCAATATATGATATGCCAGCTAATCTAACCAATACAACATATTTTGTAGATAATGTTTTGTTTAATTTTCTTGATTCATTACAGTTCTGCCTAAACTATTGACCCTGCATCCATACATAATTTCATGAATAGCTCCTAAAGGCTCTATTTCTCCTTTATTTTAACTTCCAGGACCACATATTGAAATATATAATATTTTCAGTTCCTAACACAGTGTTTTGATTTTCAGTAACTATGGCTAACAGAATCATTTTTTTTACAGGATTCTGTGTTTCCATCTGACTCTTAACGGTAAAGCATAATAAAGAAGTATAAAATGGAAATCAAATGTGAATATCTAAAGCTGCACTTACAAATACTTTACTTTTGCAAATACTTCTGTGAGGATTTTGTAGTTTTTGACAAATTTCCTAATGTGATGTTTATGGTAATGAATGATTAAATATCTTGGATCTTTCTGCAAAACTCTCCACACCATTCTTTACTAGGAAATAAATACTGATACTGAGATCATCTCTGGTGAATCATCTCACTTAATCTGGTCTCCTTTAATTTTCCTTGCACTTGCTCGTATACAGAAAGCTCTTAGTATGCTATACAAATTAATGGAACTTGGCATTGCATAATTGTGTTACATATCTCTGACATCATCTTGTTTGTGTTTTATACAGCTTCATCATACACAACAAAGACACTTTCTTCAACAATGCTACGAGAAGTAGAATCGTACACCATATTTTACAAAGAGTGAAATATGAAGAAGGGAAAAACAAAATTGGTAAGTGCTGAGCTAAGTGCCTTTATATGTGAGTGCTAAATTCCATTTAGTTTTTCATTGCCTATAGTTGTTCAGTCCTAGTTCAGTGGCTTTCCAGATAAAATGCACCCATGCCTCCGTAGTTGCTCATTACTGCTCACCATGTTCTAGGCAGAGAGGAGCAAGGCCTGCATAAGGCACTTGATCACTTTTTGGCACTAAATAGTGATATTTTTGGTTCAGAGTTCAGCTGTATTAGCTGGCCTTCTGCTCCTGCAGTCTTTCTTGTACCTGCTCTGGCTATTAGTCCTGCAGCTTTCATAAGAGATAAACTGAACAAAGCTTACGAAATTATTGTCAAATGAAAATGAAGAGTTTCAGCTGCCTTACTATGCTGAAATTCAAAAGGATAGAGATCTTCCCTCGAGTTCTCAGCTCTCAAGAAATACAGCCCTTCATCTAAATAGCTTCCTCCAATGAGTTTTTATATAAAACAAGCCTTAACATAGCACTAGACCAAAATATATGGAACTGAATTTCAATCACAGTGTGATTTCACTGGAGCGATCCTGAAGATGGATTTGGCAAATGAATCTTTAAACCTCAGGCACAATAAATCACAGATTGTGATTAATTTTGAAAGTTCCCTTTGCTTTGGTTATCCCCTAGACCCTCAAAACTGAAAAAATATGTTAATGGGCTGCAAATTACATTTATTCAACCTACTATTTTTTTTTTGCTTTATTTATCTAGCAGTTATTCTAGTCCTATAGATAAATAATTGGATACTTTTTTGGTTTTTAGGTCTGAATCGATTGCTCAGTAATGGCTCCTATGAAGCTGCATTTCCTCTTCATGAGGTATTGTTCCTATGTTTGTTCCCTTTAGAACTTACACTTCCCCAGAAATCATTTATTTTCAATCTTAATAATATTATTACTCTCCTTTGCATTCCTCACCTGTCTCTGATATCCCTTCTTTTTAGTAATATGGAAGACCCCACTGTTTGTGATCATTTTATGATGTTTTTGAGTTACTGAAGCATGTTCAGAATTAGGAGGGAAAAAATAGAATATTAAATTTATTTAATCAAAATAAAGGCATTGTGATTGAATTAAAAACAAATTTAATTTCAGTAGTCTCAAAATGTTTCAACATTAACCTTTTCAACTTCTTTAAATACAAATTTACTAAAAATTAAGGAAAAAAGACTAAAAGAACATAGAATTTCAGGTGCTAAAGTGTAAAAATAGCACATATGAAAATGCTTTTTTTTTTCCTGAGATGAAAAAAAAAGACAATAAATAAGGAGAGTTGCCCTGGGGCTGTTCTGTGGATGCTTTTCTATTTTGATGGATAAGTATTTTTTCAGAAGGCAAGGTATTGTGCTGTGGATTTCTCCATCAGTTTCTCCACTTCGTAGCCTTTGTTTTGAACACTTGTTATCAAACACATAGTCTTAAATTTCAATCAAGTCAGAGGGAAACATCTTCTTAATGTCATATTTATTGTTGGGTGCCCAAGTAAAGTTTGTGTAAGTTGTATTACCGCTAGTGAGAGGGATTTGCTAGCTCTTCTTGTTTTTGCTACTGTTTTGCATTAATGTCTAGCTCTGTATTTTAGGGGAGTTACAGAAGTAAGAATCCCATAAGAACCCACGGGGCAGAAAACCATAGACACCTGCTTTATGAGTGCTGGGCTTCCTGGGAAGTATGGTATAAATACCAGCCTCTGGATCTGGTGAGGTAAGATCTTCCCACTTTTAAAATGCCACATGATATGTGCTTAGGGCAGATGTTGTCCTGTCATTTTATCTTTCCTCTGAAAAAAACATAAGGAGCTCAGGTAATTCCTATAGTCCTTACAAACTGTGGGGCGGGAGAAGCCTGTTTTATTCATTCCTGCCACTACATTCAAAGTAATATCTGTGAAGGAGCTTGCTGGAAGAGCTGGAAAGAAAGTGAAAGAAGTTTCCTTCTTGAGTTTCCTGAAAGCAAAACTCCCAATTGAAGTGTTGTAGGATAATTAGGAGTGAAAAAGGTGAAAAAAGAAATCTGTAGAGGCTGGGGAGACATGGCTGAATCCCCATCCCCTGGGGAGCGCTTTTTCTTCCTCAGAGCATGGCTTTGATTGATTAAAAAAAGAACAGGCTCTCATTTGTTTTGTTTTGTTTTGCTTTCTTCCAAAAAGCAACCATAAGATTAGTCTCTGATGAAGTTTAATGATGCTTACAGACACTGAGCTTGCTTCTGGGTGGAACGTTGATGTCTCTTCCCTGCTGTATCCCTCAAACTCAGGACAGCCACATCACCACAGTCTGCATTTTGTTTTCAACTTGGAAATAGTTTGAAAGGAAGAAACACAGAAAGCTAAGACTTGACTCTGAATTACTATTGCCCTTTTAAATCAGGGTTTTCAAATGGGTTTATACACTCTAGTAGAGGATTATGTATTTTTTTATGCTTATCTAGAGAGTCAGATCCCTTTGGCAAAACTGGTATTGGGCTTTAGTGGCTTTTTTCTGCTTGAAGAGAAGGATATGAAGCTGCAAGAACCCATAAATAAAATCTTAAAATGTACTGGAATCATTAAAGAGATTGATATGCTGGCCATTTGCAAGTATCATACAGTTTGTGCAATTGGTCCAGTCCATGAATTTCCCCTTTTATAAGTTCTGTAACTGATAGAAATTTTTGCTTTTATTGATTTTGAAAACTGTTTCTAAGTAGAAAGTTGTGCAGAGGATCCCCCAGAGACAGAAAATGTTAATGTTTAAAGCTACATAAAACCCATCCATTTCATGAAGCATAAGATGTTCAATTTCATGGAAAAAATAATCACACAGAAATATAGCAGGAGAGCTTTACTGAGTAATATATATTTTAAAATGCTTTAGAAAACAACATAATGTATTTTTTCCTCATAAATGAATTGTGAGAACTTTTCATGTCTTTCTGAGCACATTGGCCTGGATAAAATGTGGAAGTTTTGTCAAATTACAGAAACTGATGATTTAATGAGGAGAGAGCAGTTATACTGAAATAATTTATTTTTAATTTCCCTGGTAAACAATAAGATATTGATGTCAGAATATAAAATATTTTTATCTGTAAAGGTGTTAAGTCATTTTGGCATTGCTTTCTTCTGACTGATGGTCAAGGCTGCTGTTCTTTGTCTTGCTGAGTCGTTGAGTCAATGTCTGGATTTTTGTTTAATTGTCACATCTGTGAATGTGGTTGGTAGGCATCCAAAAGATCATTTAGGTATGTGCATAAATGGTAACAGAATGAACAGGGTTAAAAAACATGATTGTATTGGACTTTGGCAGAGTCCCAACTTGAGTAGTTTGAGTGTGGTATTTGAGGTTTGCAGGATCTTTAAGCTTCTCGGGAGACAGTGACCCGCAGAGATTTTTCCACAGCTATGTTAAAAGGGCAGATAAGCAGTCAAAGTAGCGGTCACCCTAACTGCGATCACAGGTGTCCTGCAGTGGTTTGGAGCAGGTATCCATGTGAAAGGGAAAGGAGCAGGGAGCCCCGTGAGGCTCCCACCACAGTCACAGTGCTGGTCAGACTGCAGCCCCAGCCCAGCTTGGACTCACCACTGACTGCAGTGAAGTCACCAAATAACGAGGAGGGGAGAGGAGGGGAAATGCCATTTTCTTCTCACTTCACAGGTGGTAAATCCCTTGGAATTCCTTAGCTCCTACCAAGTCTTCCTTGTCTGCTGCCACTCTCAGGAGCTCACATGTCTAGTGAGCTGGATTTTTCTTCTTGAAGAGTGGCAACATCAGCAAGACTTGTTTGTTTCACTTGGGAGTATCTCCGCATGTGTACCTCAAGAAAAAGCTTTTTTCTTACCAGTTCTGCAGCTGGAGCAACTTCTCTGTTTCTTTTCCCGGACCGGCAAGTGTTTGGGGTGTGCTTGAAGGGATTAGCATTGCTATCTGTACAAAAAGAGTGGATGAGTGTTAATTCTTCCTCAGATATAGGACCAGAACTCACAGCTCGCAGCTAACATTCCTGTTATTAAATGCTATAGAGAAGCTGAGCAATAAATTATTCATAGAGAATAAAATGACCCCCTCATTAGTAGATTTAATATTTCTACCACAAAGTCAAACTGCACCAGTGGTGATGGAAATTGTTTTTGCTTTGATGCTGTCTTATTCTTCTCTTAGCTGTTAAAATGAAGTCTTAAATCTTTATTGCTGTCAATACAGTGCCTTCCACATTTCATTTAATCTTATCAGCTGGCCGTTAAGGAGCTAGTAGTCACTAGAAATAAACAACAGAAAGCCATTTGAAGGGAATTTTGTGATTCTGCATTCACACTGCATTGAAAGGCATAGCAGTATCTAGGTGCATACTTGGCACAGTTGCAAAGGCAACATTATAATCAACAGATGTGGAACCATGATTTTAATTACACTTCTGTTGCAATTTAGAGCCCATAGTTATTTTACAACAATAATTTAAGATCCCTTGAATTGGCAGTAATCGTAATTTAAGTTCGCTTGAACTGATAGCAACTGGAAAGAGATAGGACTTTCTATATTGATATGCTCTAGGATGTTGTAAATCAATGGGAGCAATTCCAGTGGTTCCTGAGAACTTTGAATCACCTCCTTCATGCACCTCATAGTGTTCTGTACACAATCTCTTTCTCCTGGAGTCCAGGAGTTATTCCTATTGCTCCTTGTGTGTCTCACAGAACCAAAACAGGGTGTGAAAAATGTATTTATGATGTGATTGTAAAAATTTTTAAGTGAACCTTTAAGTAAAACTAATGCATAAGTAACTTGTATTTTACTTTGCGTTTATCTTAAATGACTTGATTGTAAGCTCTAAATTCCCCTTTGATCTTCTGTCAAACCTTCTTTCCTCTTCCTGTTCTTCCTAACATGACAGAAAGCTTTATGTGTCCAAGACATCTGCTGGAAAGCTTTGGCTGTTTTACACCTTGCTTCTGTGGAGTGATAAGTTTTTGCATTCTGGCTTGTGCTCTGATCTGAAAAAGAATTAATGAATATAGATAAGCTCTTGGCTTAGGTCCAAATCTATCTCTAGCCCTTCCATTCATCCTGAACCCTCAAAAACAATATAATAAACAATATAATGAACCCTCAAAAACAATATAATAAATGTCTTATAGCTTAAGACATTTCAAAAATGTGCCTTACTGCTAAAGAGTGAGATTAAATTTTGTCTCTATTCAAGTTAGTGGCATTTCTGCCATTAGAATGTGGTGGGAGGAGAAATAGTACACAGGTAGGTGGTATTGAAGGTCTAATATGCATGCCACCAGAAAACTGAATTTTATGGAGATTTATTTCTTTGTATTTATACTAGTGACAGAGTATATGAAGACAGAAGAGATGGTTTATTCTATTATATGCCTCAGGGTTTTTCAAGTCTTTGCTTTAGAAGTTTTATGTATAGAAAAAAATCTGCAAGAAAACCACAAAAGATGCAAAGTAAAATTTTTCAATTTTGCTATTAACAATCTGGCAAATTAGATGATAATGAATTAGCAAAATTAACAGAAATGCAAATGTTAGGAGCAGAATGATAACAGGTGAAATGTAATGGAAGTTATGTGCAGATATACACCCTAGAAAAAAATCCCTGCAATGCTTCACATTTATTAATGTGTTCTTGAGAAACTATCAGTATTTGAGTAAGAGAACAGCCATCATTATGGGTTGTTCCATGAAATTTCCATCCAATATACAGTGATAGATAAGAACCAAAGAGCTTTTCCTTGTGTTTAGTTCAACTTGAAAGAGGGGAGTGGCAAAAATATGTCTTAAGAAGTCAGCTTCGTCTTTTGGGATGAGGAGGTTACAGACTTACTCAACTATGGATCACAATAAGCATGGAACTGTTCAGAATACGGTACCTGGTCAGGTCTCCAAAGACCATTTTATTGCCACAATGTGTTTTTCTATGTACTCGGTTGGGTGATTGTTTTTCTGAGCAGAGGCTTACAGAATAAATATTCTAAATACTGGATCAGAATAAATGAAATATAAACCTGGTCCTGATGCCAAAGAGAACAGTACAGCCTGTGGAATAACACTTGTGAAGTGAAGGTAAATAGTGGAAGATATTGTATGCATCTAAGCCAATATATATCCAAGTAATGACAATACTTATTTTTAGTTTATAAAACCAGGCTCACAGGTGACCTCAGATGCTTTTTCCTTACATTGCAGGGATTTTTTCCTGCTTCCCATAGTGTCTACTCTACCTTATGCATGGACTGAGCTTTGCTTGGGTCTTAGAGTAAGATGAAGCTTTTTACTTGATCTTGAGAACCATAAAAGTGTGGTTTTTTACAAATACTAGATGGAAATGCTGAATGGCACAGGAAATTAAGTACGTTAAGAATGGTCTTCAGCTAATGACTTGGAATCATTCGTACTCAAATATAGGGAACAATATAAAAAGAGATAAATATTGATGAATGTTAGATTTACTTTACTACTTCGAACTATGTACATGGAGAAAAATAGATTCATAAATACACAGTACAAGTAATCTTATAAAATGTGAGTTTTCTATTTCACTGCAACAGGCACCATTTGACATCTTGTGTTACAGCCGATCACTAGACCAAAGGGTTCACTAAGGTCTTTTTACAACCAGACCTGCTGCCCTGACAGAATTGAGCATGTTACTGTTAGCTTTCTACCTTTTACCCAGAAAATCTGGTTCTCTCTTGAGTGACAGAAGAATGAAAACAACATGACAAAATTTGTCTTCCCAAACTTTGGCTTCCCAGTAAACTTGTATGATAATAACCAGTGTAGGTCACTCACTTCACCCTGTAAAGCATGAGTTCAATAGAGAAAGATATTGCTGAGGTTGGAAATTCTTGACAAATTCTTGGAAATTCATGATTTTGTCCATTCCAGACCAACTATTTCTTTTTCTTCTCCATTTCCACCAGCCCTGGAGTTCATCGTGGTCTTCTCCTTCTCACTGGAAAAGTTTGACCAATAATATTTTCTGGTAACATGAAAGTAGCTGTGCCAACTGACATCTGTCTTTGTCCCCGGGGAATTCAGAAGTTTCATCATTAGCATAAATATGGGTTCTCAAATTCACCTGGCTGCTAACTTGAAATTGATTTTAAAGTCTCGGAAGTACAGTATCATCATCTTGTCTCATTCTTCAAAACTAATCTTCCAAATAATATCTTAAAATCTTAATTAAAGCTGTCATGATTACATATTAGTTTGTAAAGCAACCAAATCTCATGATCAGCCTACTATGCCCAAGATTATCAAACACCAGGCAGTGCATGTAGCCTGCTCCTATGCTGATGCAAGGGGTTCTGCGCATTTAATGTATTCTTCAATGCATAAATCAAGGTGTGGTGGTGTTTGGGAAGAAGAAAAGTGCTAGCAAATATGTAGCAAATACAAAATCCTTAGTCACTTTGTTGTTGGTTAATAAGGAATACATCTGACAAATCAGTATTAATCGTAGTATTTTCCTTAAGTCAATAAAGATAATGCATAAAGAGCTTTGTTGTACCCTACTTTTACTTTTCACCTATGTTAAAATCATGGGATTAATTTTCCTGGAAATCTGCTGAGAAAGAAATAAGAAAATGGAAATAAACTGGATTGGAAAATAATGTCTGGTTCATTAACGTCTTAAAAATAATTTGGACCTGAGTCATTTTTTCTGTTATATCCATTTTACACAAAAGTGCCCATACTGATTTCGGTACAATTACTTGAGAAATACAGTTACACAGCCAAAAGACAAAGCAAGCCATTTGTTATCAATGCATGAAGAAGCTTTTTTTAAAAAATGTATTCAGTGTTTTCTCTCTGAGATCTCCACTAACCTCTGTGAACTGTGAAATGTGAATTTTTAAGTTTATTACAAAAATGAGGCACATGCCTCAGTGTGGATTTAGAAGCCTAATTGTGGGGCTTTTGCTTTAGGAAATTCTAGCTCTGCTCTTTCATTCACTCTTTTTTTTTTTTTTTTTTTGCTATTAACCAACATGGTAAAGCAGGTTTGTTCTAATTAGCGGGTAACTTTGCTGTGTTGTATTTTAAAACAGGCGGTACTTTGGTGAGAAAATTGGGCTCTACTTTGCCTGGTTAGGCTGGTATACAGGGATGCTCTTCCCAGCTGCCTTCATTGGATTGTTTGTCTTTTTGTATGGAGTCACCACCTTGAACCACTGCCAAGTCAGGTAACGTGAGCACTCTGGTTAGAGGTTATTATAAATATTTTAAAAACTCTTTGCATGAATTGTTAATTGTTTCATTTTGAATTGTCAAATGAATACTTGGGAAGAGCCAGTGCTTTGCTGTCATAAGGTACCCTGTTTTTAGCATCCCTGAACTGGGGTGGGATGCATCTTTTCTTGCCCAGCTTTGGTCAGTGCTGATGCTAGCCACTCAGCATGAAATAGGAAAACAGAAATGAGTAGAAAGGGGTCCTACCTTACTCTCTTACAAGGCTGGAGAAAAGTGTGGAAGTTTCATTCTCTTCAAGGTCATTCCAAAAGTCCCTCCACAGAGAGGCATTTTCACATGAAGAACTCCCTGGACCTTCTCCCGAGTGCTACATCTCTGCATCTTCCACACCTCACATGTTGCCTGAGGGCACCCGCAAGAATGAGTCAATGTTATCTAAATGAGCACTCATCCTCACCCTCCTCCTACAGAAGGTCATTTCTGATTCACCAAGAAGCTGAAAATGATTTTTTTTAAAAAAGCTTCTGCTAAGTTGGCTGTAGTTACGTTGGCTCTAAAGAACTGTTCTCTACAGCCAGGATCCCCAGTTTGTAAACTCTGAGGGAGTTGGCAAATATCCATTACACACATGGTTATAAGCATCTTGCCTTGAGTTACAGAAAGAAGAAATACTGTTTGATACAGTATTCTTTGAAACATAAGCAACTGAGAAAGTTATTTGTCAATTTTAAGACTGTGGTGCATCAAACTATTAACATGTATCTTCTTATTTTCAGTAAAGAAGTCTGTCAAGCTACAGATATCATAATGTGTCCTATATGTGATAAATACTGCCCATTCATGAGGTTGTCAGACAGCTGCATTTATGCAAAGGTATGTTTTAAAATACGCAAATAGAAATGCCTTCCTGCTAACAGCATTCTGTTAGTCTTTTCCATTGGCCTCTAGTGAGCTTGGGTAGATAAAAATCTTTAAAGGCGAGATTAAGTTCAACCTATATTACCATCCGTGGTCTTGTTTGAGCTGCAGAATACCTGGATGCAATTTGGATTAGTGGATTCAGCAGCCTCAGAAGTCATGTGCCAGAGGCATGTGCTTATCATTAGCCTTTATCTTCTCTATGCTCCTCAGAAGGAACACTTTGGGTTTGAAGTAAACCCAAAGTTTGAACTGCTCATGCTTCCAGAGGTCACTCCCAGACCAGACTGGGGGCTTTTCAGCTGATTCAGAGCTCTGACTTTGGCAGGTGCACATCATACAGCAAGAGAGGGATTTCGACCCTCAGGATTATCAGCCCAGCTGTGCTTTGCATCATGCTAAATTTATTTGGTAAAAACAGGAAATAAAACCTTATTATCATAAATTGATCAGCTTGATCATGTCTTTCTTAGGTAACCCATCTTTTTGACAATGGAGCTACTGTCTTTTTTGCTGTTTTCATGGCAGTGTGGGGTAAGTTTTTCTTTTGCTAAGCGTAATTCCAGCATGTTTTCCTTAAAGCCTGCTTGTGATACAGCATAGGCATATTGTAAACTCCATGCACTGAGGTGCATAGTATAGGTATTGATTCTTTTCTCTTTCTGCAGAAAGAAGATGGAAGTGGCTAGAATCTGATTTTTTTAATTATTTTAATTTTTAAAATGTAAATCAGTGTCTATAAAATGTAAGCAGTGTCTATACAGATAGTTATATGTTGTTGTTTTTAAGTGTTTATAGATCTGTTGGCACTTTACTCAGCCAATAGGCTTTGTCTCAGTTTAAAGAAGCTCAGTTCAGTGTGTGCACTTAGACAAATTAATGCACTATTTTTCCTTGATTTCAGAAAGGCAGTGAAGCCTTCTCTGATGAAATAAGTGGGGGATTTATTTGAATGGCAAATTGATTCCAGAGTGATCTAACTGTTGCCATAGAGGTTGAATTTTGCCTTTAGGACTGGTTCTATTTCTGGCTCAGCTGTTTTTCCTACTGTGATCTTGCAGGTAGAATTGAAGGCAAGAGGGAACAGTCATTTGTGGCAGTACATGAAGCTTTTCAAACATGCCTTGAGCATGCTCTTAGCTGCTACCATGCTGTCCTGAGAAAAGATTATTGTCGCACATCTTGGAGGATGCCTCAAGGAGGTACCTCAAAAATAATATCTATCCCACAACTCTGGGAGATTAAGCCATCCCAATTTAGTCATTTTTCTCTATTTCTTATTCAATTTCACACACCTCAAACTCCTTTGGAAAGGTGGCCAAGTAATTCTCATAATCTCTATTCCAAATAGTGATTCTTTGTTGAGCCAAAGAGGTATCCAAGGTCCAGTGTCAGAGTTCTCGGGAGACCCATAGGAAAACCTAACAGTCCGTCTGGACTCCTGTCTCCAAAATTATGTTTTCATCTTACTTAGATAATTAGTTCAGTTCATATTTTGGTCAACTCTGTCTATCCTGTTTCATGATTTATTCGAGTTATTAACATATCACAAACTAAATTAAGTAAAAAATCAACAGGCTGTAAATATTGGATGTTTCTCTGCTATTTTTGGCATCGTTTTAGACCTACACCAGATTTGAGCATCACCAACAATTTCAAAGTCACTCCCTTCAAGTTTTTGTTATATGTATACTTAGCTTTTCAACCTCTTTCTCTGTGCAAGCACTGAGGCTGAGAATTTCCAAGACAGCTAGGAAAATTAATTACTAATGAAAGTGTTGAAAGTTTGTGCTGCTGCAGCAATGTGTGAGGTTGTGGAGGTATTTTCATTACAGCTGGAGCTGGAGTAACATTAGAACGAGGGAAACCACACTTCCCAGAGACTTTCAAGTACTATATTTATGATTTAGCTTACCTCCTGTCTGAAGTGGATTTTCAGTCTGCAGTAAGCCTAGTGACAGCTGCAAGTATTACTGTCACTTTAGTAAATCATAGGAGAAGAGAGGAAACAGTGATAGCTTTTTGATTGTGGAAATGTTTTTCATATTGGCATGAAGAAACTTGAAAGTGGATGACAAATTCCAGCTTTCTGAATGATCCTGTTTGAGAGACAGTAATATATAAAATAATGACAGCAGAATTTAAAAAAAAAAAAAGAGAGAGAGAGAATGAGAGCAAAAAGGCAGATAGAATTGTATTTTCTCGTTAGCCTGAGCATAGCCACAGTCTGTTACCTAAAATACCTTCTTCACTGTCTTCAGATCCATTTATGAACACCCACCTTGAGATGAAAGTCTTATATGTTTGGTTGGGGTTTCCAAAAAACAGGCAGGTCAGCCCAGTGTTCCATGCGGAAGTACTGTGTATATTGGGTTTCTTCCTCTTCCTCTGCAGATATCTCCAGTTGATAAACAAAGTGGACTAGTGGCTTCTTTTTAAATAGAAATAAAATGCTTATTCCAATAATAAGGCTGCTGTGGTAAGGGTATGAAAAGGAATTACCACTATAGGTACCATTAAAATATCAACGTGGGCATCTTAATTTCTTAATTTGTTGAGCTTGACGAAAATATAAGTCCAGTTTGTAGGAAAAAATCTCACTCTTTTTGCTGTCTAAGTTGGATTCTTACCAAAGGCAGAAAGCAAGAGCAAGATGTTCATTACAAATAAGAAATTTCTCAGAAAAAAAAATCTAGCTATGCTTGATCCTGAGTTGATTCTAAACATACTGTTGTAAAGCCAGATGAAAATATAGCATTTGCTTTGCCAGTTGAAATAACAGGGAAACCTAGTCCAAAGATGTTATAGTCTAGATGTTGCCTAAAGCTCAGTAGCAAAGTTCTGTCAAGCTCCAACAGGATCTATCGCTCAGCCATTGACCATTTCTAATGCTCTGCTAGAGAAACAGTGAACTGTTTGTTTCTTTGCCTCCTTCTTTCTTTTTATTATCCTGTATGTCTTTGGGGCACAAAAGAAGTCCATTTTGTAATTTCTTTTTGTCTGCCTAGAAGCACATTTTATTTGATAAGGCTTTGCTGAAAGGCAAAGCTGTGCAAGTGAAAAGGCCTACCTTTAATTTTTTTTAAAAAAGAGATAAGAAATACCAACATAAAACATTTTTCTAACTATATCAGTTGGTCTATTAAAAGATATTATTCACCTACCAAACTTGTCTCTAGCATAAAGCATTTGTATTGATCTGCTCTCTGAGGAGGCAGAATTTAAGGCAGTTCTGTAGCAGCATTCCTAGTATAATAGACTATACTCTAGAAAAGGAAAAGAGATACATTAAATAGTGTTCTAGATACAGTGAGGATTCCTGAGAGAAGGCTAGGATTTAGCTATTTGCTGAGACAAGCTATTTACATTACCACAACTTAGTCCAAAAGCATTTGAGGAAATGACATTAAGAAAGATGTTCATACAAATGGATGCTTAGGAGTAAATAGCGAAGCTGAGTTACAAAAGAGGTCAAGCATAATTTATATTAAAAATTAGCAGAAGGTCTGAGAGTTAAAACCTATGACAAATTCAAAAATTCCAAGCAGGATTTTTGGAGAACTCTTGGCATCTGGAGTGAATGCTTCAATTGGAAATGCTCTAGCAAACAGGAGCACTGAGAATACAACTGAATTGTGTTATGCTCTCATAGTAAAGCTAATAGGTGTATGAGGCACTAGTGATCGCTTGACTAGAAAGGGAGAAATTTCAAAATGCAATACTTTTAAAAGTCCTCAGTAGTACAGTAAATCAATCAAAGATGGTTATTTATAGCACATTTCAAAATATGCACCAAGGGAAAAGTGCATACTGACCTCAATAGAGGGAGAAAAATGTGCTGCAATAAAAGCTGAAACAGAGCTGTGCAGATCTCCTATTTGGTACTTAATGTTTTGAAAAGAGCTTTGAAAACCAAATTGATGAACTGAGCATACCAAATCTGACAGATGCTAAATATACCACGTGTAATATGCATAGACTCCTCCTCCAGGTACATGAAAAACAAGAATCAAGAAGTTCTGTTCATCATAGACACATCTGAGAGATTCATGACTCTCAGATATGCAAAATAAACAGTGATGTGGGATCTGGAAATAGATTAAGGAACTATCCCCCTAAACATGTGTTTCACATCTTATGTCTTCTGCTTCAGAGGTTTGCTTTTGAAGAATATCTTAGTTGTGTTGGCTAATACATTAAAATATAATAATTCTTACTGGATAAAAACTCACTTTTACCAAATTTAAGGAAGTGTTTAATATCACATTATTAGCAGTGCACAGCAGTAGAGTCGGTAGTCTATTAAGAAGATGTCTTTAGTACTGGATGAGGGACATAATGTCAGTCTATTGTGGCACTGTTTGATTTGATATTATCCTAGTTCATGAGCAGAATTCTGTGTTCTCTGTGGTCATCATCCTGCTATATTTGCTTGTGTTTGCTGTATTTGACTCAGCAATATAGGCAAGAGCCAAACCTCATCATGGGAGAGGAAGCCCTTCTATTAAATTGAATTAGTTTAAGGAAGCTTCTAAATTTTTTTAAGATAACGTATTTTAAAAAAATAAATAGTCTCAAGATTAGTCTCTAGAATAGTGATGCATAATTGTATGATTAAATGCTTCCTTAATCATTCCTTCCATCATAAAATGAAATCACAGTTGTACACAGGAATACTATAGTATCACAAATATATCTGTGCTGTACTTCAGAGTGTTCAACTGTCATAATTAATGCCAAAGCATATGCGTACCGTCCTGTATGGTAAGAGAAATATTTAGGGTTAGCAAGGTATAAGAGAAAAGCTCCAACTTCTTCAGTAGCCATCTGTAGATTTCCATGTTCACTGGAAATTTTATTCTTCCGGCTTCCAGTGCTTATGTATTTTAAATGGTGTTCAGAAAAGGAAAGTTACCTACTTTATCTACACTGTCCCCACAAAACCCTTAGCATCATCAGAAATCTGCCATTTTTAGCTGTGATGACTCACAGGAACAATTCATTCTTTGAGACTCTTCCCTTGGTTCATTTGAAATTAAATGTTTTCCTTTAAGACTAAATGAAATCTCTGCAGCTTCAGTCATGCTTGACACAAGCAAAGCAATCCTTAGAAAGCAATACCTTTTCAAGGCAGTTTTCATCATCAGCATGGTTTACTGTTCAAAGAAGCCCTTTTATGCAAAGAAATGAAAAATAATGTAACTGCTTCATTCACCATTTCTGTGATAGTAGTTAACATTTTCGTGACTTAAAAACAATTTTGTATTTTTTCTTTTTGCTACAGCAACTGTTTTTCTGGAGTTTTGGAAAAGAAGGCGAGCAGTAATTGCTTATGACTGGGACTTGATAGACTGGGAAGAAGAGGAGGTTTGTATAGAAAAATTTTCTTCCTAATCTTTAATACAAAATAATTTGGTTAAAAATGTAAGCTTTTTTTTTTTTGGGGGGGGGTGGTATTTTAAATTCATTTCTCAAATCTTCAGGAGCAAAGAAATTCAGATGATTCATCAGGACTGTGAAGAAACTTTCCCCAGGACAAACTATGTTCTGTTTTTATGTCTATGTAAATCCAAAAGAATTTCTTAGTGCTTGTCATTGTGGGAGGATTGTTCTGAGGGGGAAAAAAAAAGTACATTGTAGAGGGAGGTTACCAAACTTGTGTGTGCTGTTGGAGAAAAAACTTCACAAGGTTTGCACCATTTTCTAAACTTTCGGGTACTGATTACCTCCCAGTTGCAACACGGTGTAAGTTCTGTGAAAACAGTGAGAGAGATAACTAGCTGGCTTGATCAAAGGACTTAATTTGTCCCCTCTTATTAGAGAAAATCTCCAGTGCTGGAAACTCAAAGTTGAAAAATAGCTTTAGGCTTTCTTCTGCTGAGGTTACCAGAAGAAGGGAAGAACATGGAGCTGGAAGCAGGGGTCTAGGTGGAACCAGCAGATTCTATTATGCAAGAGAAAAGCAAGATTCAAGAGTAGGTAGGGCAGGAAAAGTGCTTCTCCAAGTGGGATTTGGACATAGTGGTGTCTGCAGAGGCTGCTTTTTTGTTTTATTTTGTTTTTGTTTTCTCATATTTATTTATTTATTTTTGTAGCAACCAGAGCATCACTTTGTTCATGCACTGTTAAGTCTTGGAAGTGCTTCGTCACTTCTGTCAGAGTATATAGAGAGTACTCTAGGACTGCTTTATCTCTCCTGGGATTAGCAGTCTGCTCTGTCCAGTGCTAAAAAGTCTCAGGGATGGCACACTGAGATCGTCCTGCTTGAGCTTCAGTGATCTGATGTTTCCTACAGAATCTTTCCTAGCTGTACTCTACATAAATGTTATCTGTCTGTTTTTTAGGAGGAAATACGTCCCCAGTTTGAAGCCAAGTACTCCAAGAAAGAGCGAATGAACCCCATATCTGGGAAGCCAGAGCCTTACCAAGCGTTTGCAGACAAATGCAGCAGACTCATTGTTTCTGCATCTGGAATATTTTTTATGGTTTGAGGACTTTTATTTATTTACCAGTTGTATAAATGCAAAATGGTGTTATGTCTGCTGAGAGAGCATGGAGATAGTGGATATGATTTCCTGAAAATTAAATAAGTTCTAGTATGTTTAGTGCAGGCTAAAAATCTCTACACGGCAAGTATCCTTAGTTGCAGTAAAGTCCCATATTAGTGGAAGAGCAGTGCTATCCCATTTAGGCACCCGCTTCTGGTGACTGATTTCTTTAGGCTTCCTGTGTAGACAGTGCAGAGTGATGAAGAGATGCTGTGGAGGAGGCAGTTGTCCTTCTTTCCTTCAACTGAAAATCTGAAAACGTGTTTACTTGACACCTAGATGCCTTACTGTACTTAAATCCTATGTATAAACTCCACAGCAAAACAGAAACTTGGTTGTAACTTAAAATCCAACTTAACATGTATAAATGAAAAAAAAAAAAAGGCTTTCAACTATCTATTCAGATAATTTAACCAAGTTTCTCAAAACAAGCATGAGATCTTAGGATTTATCTCCCATGTCTTATAGATATACGCAAGAATATTATGATGATTTATATTGTTTATGCACCTATTGGATTTAATGCAAAACTTTTCATGTACACCATAGTATGTATTTTTTTCCATACAATCTCCTGTTTGTTATGTATTTGCCTTGGTTTTAAACCATAAAATACAGCATGAAACTTGACTTCCAATTTCCAACTTTCAGCACTGAAGTACCCAGTAACTTGTCATGTTCTAAAAGTTAAAACTGCAAAAATAATTTGAAATTCTCTAAGTATTAAATGTAGGATTCTGTTACGTAATATTTCCTGAAGCAGCTGAAAAATTCTGAAATTGATATATGAAGTCCAAACTAGGATTTTTTATATTTTTATAGATAATTGTATCTCTAATTTGCAGTTAACAACAGAGTTAACAACACAGCTCTTTTTGCTGAAATTATTTTAAAAAATGATTAAGATGGTTTAAATCACTCTTATTTTTACTCTTTAGAATAACATATGTAGTAGAAGTAATGCTTTTCCTTGAAGCTGATGTTACTTATACTTGTTATTGATGCTATTAATATCATACTGTAGTCATGACACAAGTCTCAGATGCAAGAGGATTGAAATTTTTCCTTCCCCTTCACACACTTTATATTCTTGCAAGGTCAAGTGCTTCTCAGCCTCTTAATCTAGACTACCACACAAACTAGAGAAGCTTTACAGGTGTTCTAGTCCAAAGTAGTACATAGGCATGAAGGTGCATGGTCACCAGAGCCTTATCACTTTTAACACTGGCTCCTGGAGTGGGATACAATCAGGTTAACAGGAGCATTTGCACTCTGTAAGGAATCCAGAGGATCTAATAAACTAAATAAATAATCCACTTTTCCTTAAATTTATTAGCATCCCTAGGTAGAATCGTTGCAGAAAGCAAGAAACACAGGTAGAATCGTTGCAGAACAAAAGCAAGAAACAGCTTGTGGGGGGTAGCTTGCCAGGGTACTTGTTGAAGCAGTGCTTGCAAAAGGAGACATTTTTTCCCTATAAGTGCAAAGTACACCAAAGAAAAACATCTATCCCAAATGTGACTTGACTAGAACATCAGCTTGAAGCTAGCTTCTGCACATCATTGAGAAATACACGTGTAAGGAAAATATCCAATTTCCAGATCTGGCAGTGCTGTTTCCTATGCTAATGCTAAGGAAGAGTTACATTTTGGGGGGAACATTTAAATATTACCTTAATATGGTATTAGAAATACTTTACATTTTAGATGTATATACTTTGTAAATACTTCCTGTGTGTGTATATACTTGTATATACAAAGTATTTTATAGAAAATGAGAAAAAGATTGAAATATTCATGTTAAAACTTCTGTCTGTAATCCAAAAAAATGATTTTTTCAAACATTTCACTTCAGTGTTTTGAGAAGTAAACTCCCATTCAACGTAAGGTTTTCAGGTTGTTCTCTCTGTTTTTTTTCCCCCTTTAGATCTGTGTGGTCATTGCTGCTGTTTTCGGAATTGTTATTTACCGTGTTGTGACTGTCAGCACTTTTGCTGCCTTTAAGTGGGCTTTAATCAGGAATAATTCTCAGGTTGCAACCACAGGGACTGCAGTGTGTATCAACTTTTGCATCATCATGCTACTGAATGTGGTAAGTAAACCTAAACCACAGCCAAAGCAAAGCACCGCATTGGTACGTATCTCAGTCTGCAGATTACCGATTCTTTCAGATCCTATCTTCATTTCTGCCTTTGGCATTGGCAAGACTGGGTTGATTACTTGAGCAGACTCCAAAAAAATATTGACTTTCCTGTATTTTCCTAAGGTGGGCCCATAGCCTGTGAAAGGACAGGAAGAAGAGGTGGAAGCTATTCTCTTGGAAGTTACGTTGAGGGATCTCTCCTTTTATGTTATTTTCAATTTGTTGCTCTTTACTGCAGCTTATGGGGCATTTTTATCTATCTGGAGCACACAATAATCATATATTGTGAATGTAAAAAGAAGTAAATATAAAGAAAACTATGTCTATTCTTATCAGCAAAGCTTCAATTTCCAAACTGTCATTATAAATGACAGTATCTGAAATGAAGCAGTAACATAGCAGTACAGCACGAATAAAAATATCTGAGCAAATGTTAAAATAATGCAAGATGCCATAAAGATATCTTTTGGAAAACTTCAGATTTTGTTTTTCCAAATATATCAAATAGATTACAGCAAAGATGGATTTTTTTAAGCTGTATGCTCACTACCATGAAATACCATGGCCTTAGAACTGGATATAGCTCATGGAAACAAAAGACCCCAAAAATGCAAAACTGCATGAGCTTTTTTAATGAAGGAATTAGGAACATAATCTCTCCTTCCCGCTAAAGAATGAATGAGAAGGACAGTAGTGGGATTTCCTTTGAGTATGAATAGTTGTTTGTTGGGGTTTTTGTTTGTGTGTGTTTGTTTTAGTTACTCTTTTACCAGACTGTGTTTCAAGAAGCATAACAGGAGGCCAAGGAAAGAAAGAATTAAAAAAGAAAAAAAGGTCAAGGTGATATGTAGTTAGGGAATTCACTGTCACTACCAGGAAGTCAATGACTAACAAAATTTGACAGCCCCAAACCATCAAGGAGAAGGTCTAGACTATGAGTAACCTCTAGACTGGAGGCTTTGAGATCTAGGTAGATATGCTGATACATCCATCATAACAAAATTATATGACCTCCAAGCCTAATGTCTCCCAGATAATCAGGCAACGTCATGTCATTAGTTTTATCTGGGTTGATAAAGACCATAAATTTGAGTGATACTGTCTACAGAAATTCTGAACACAGAATAGAATATGATAGTAAGCAGGGTCCTTTGGGATGGGCAAACTGCAGTGCCAGATGATCAGAGCCAAGCAATGCTGACAGAATCTCTAACACAGCCTCACCACTCCAGAAGAAATCACAGCAAAACTGCTCTGCTCTTGTTCTGCTCTGTGCTTTCGACACCCACATCCACAGAGCAATGTGCACTTATAAAACCGCACACTCTCTGCTGAGACAAGTATATAAACAACCAAGACATTTAGCAGTTTTACACTTGCCATTAGGAGACACTTTGAAACCTAGAAGAAATCACATTTTCATTACCTGAAACAAAATTGTCTATTCTGGAGGCAGCAAAAAGTTGTTCTGAACACGAAGTGATTGTTAACATGGATGAGATAATTCAGGATGACTTCAGTTCTTAAACAGTTGGTTTAAGCTGTAAATATTACCTCCCTTAGCTTAAGCAACACTTTATAAAGATAACTGCAAATGAAAATAAACATTGCTGCATATACACTTTAGGAATAAACAAATACTTGAGCCTGAAAAGGGAGGAGCTCTGTATCCCTGCAGGCATCAAGGGGAGCTGAGGTTTTTTCTGCATATATTGTTCATGGAAATTGCTATGTAAAATTTTTTAAAAATATTACTATTCATTGTTTGATTATATCATTATTATATTATTACTATATAATTTTATTTTTGTCATCTTTATCACAGAGATTATCTGAATGTCTGATTTAAAATATAAGAGCAGTTACTCTTCCTAGGAAACAGTCCTATATTATTAACTATGGCAATATGGTCTGATCATATTTCTAAGAGGGTATTTCTTCTCTGTTGCAGCTATATGAAAAGGTTGCTCTTTTTCTGACAAATTTAGGTAAGCAGTGATAAATACAAAACTGAATAATATTGAATTGTTTTTTTTTGTCTGTGTATCACAGCTGTGTTCAAACCTTCTATGTAAATATCAAATCAGAATTAATTTAAATCTATAGCAATTGTTGTTTTTGTTAAGTTTATTATAAAGTTTATAATAGAAAGTTTATTATAAAGAAGTATATGCATCAACTTACCTATAGCTGAATTGAGTCAACAGTTGGTTCTTTTCAAACAAGTTTGGTTCTTATTCCAACCCCATAGACCATGAGAACTGACAAATAGTTAAAATAAAGACAAAGACATGGTTTGTCAGAGAGGGAGGAGTACTCAGCTCTAAGATTTTGTAGAGATATGAAAATTAGAGAATCACTCCTGGAAACCAAATTTAGAGCTTGAGACTAAGGTGCTTACTGGCTATCAAACATCTCCTTTTAAGAGGGGTGGCAATTTGGAGGGAAATGTTTAGCCAAGTCTTCAGCTCTAGCAGCATCTAAGCTCCAATGTCATTCCAGCTTTGGTATGGTAAAAGATTTGGTGATCTTTTGAGATCACCCATGAAGGTCATGAGGTCCGTGTTAGAGCACGGACAACATGTTTCTTTGGTTTTGTCATCACCAAATACTGTCACTAGGATGGCAATGGTCTGTCACCATATAACTAGGGCTGAGAGATAGGCTGGAGATTCTGAGCAGGGTCTGGGAGACTGTGGTAGCTGGTCACAACTGTCAATGGCCAATCTTACTGTCAAGAAGCCTGAAGCATAGCTCTCGCCAAAGGCCTATTAAGCCAAGCATATTATTGCATGCATAGCAAAAGTTTTTCAAGGAGGTTATTTTGAACCTTTGTATGTTGATGGTATTAATGATGTGCTTTGGATCAGGCAGACACATTTCAGGCTTGGCTTAGAGGAAACACAGAGCTGATTATATCTAGTGTTAGAGTGATTTTATGTCTGGAAAATCATAGATGATGTGTCCAAAACGTATCTGTGTGAGAGCTGTTTTATTCTGTTTTTTTGTCTTCGATTTAGGCCTGATTTAAGGCTTGTAAGCTTAAAATGTTGCTAGCATCCTGTATCAGTGGAAAAGGCAGCTGCTACTTACAGTTGAGAAAAGTGATGTCCAAGTATGTTATTTGCACAGGATATGCCTTTTTCCTCCCAGTGACACCCTGGGAACAGTAAGACAGTCATTGAAGACCTTGAAGCTTGATTAGTTTCTGCCAAGTTATCATCAAGGCAGGACTGCTTCTTGTAGCCTGTGTAGTCTGCACTAACACAAGAACTCAATGGGTCAATCTATTCTGAACCTGTTCAGCCTCTTTTGTGTTCCTGGTCTGTCTCAAAAGTGACTGATTTGGTGTGGATGATCCTTATCAGGGTAATAAGCTCAGACTGGGACTGGCAGCCTGGTTACGTTCAAGATTTGTTTTTCCAGTCTTTACATGACCTTTACTGAGTTCATTTCTGTGCTCCTCCAGCAATTCTGCCACTATCTCCAAGTCTGGCTAATAAGCAACTCCTCAGGTGCAGCCCTGTTTGAGTCAGACTTGTCCTTACCACATATTGGCATAAAAAATCCTTCATTTCTTTCTGCTTAACTAAACATAGAGTTGGATTTCTTGGCATGCCTTTCTGAAGTACTAATGCCACTGGTAATTTATAGTTTGTTTTCTAGGTTTGTTGATGCACCCATTTGAAAGTTCCTCGTGCGTATAATGGCTCTGATTAATGAGAATCTAGTTTATCAATGCAGTTTCTATAATTCCAATACTTTAATAGAGATTTCCTTGGAAATAAATGTAGCAGTACTGCATCCATGATGCCCAATGCCACCAGCAGTACCTCTGCTTTTCCTCTGAGTACCCCTGCTTGCAGCAGCGGGATCACTAGCAGCAAGCTCAGGCCAATTGGGCAGCATCTGCAGGATGTGGTGCTGTTGTGCTGGCATAGAAGTTGTTTTGTTAATTCCTGTCCTATCCACTGTTTAGATGGGAATCAAGGGTCAGACTGAAGGGAAGATATATGTTTTCTCTTTTTCACTTTTTCTAGTCATCCATGCATTGTGAAATACTTTTTTCAGTCCCCTGTCATGAGCTCTCTCAGAAAAGGAAAGGGATGGTTTGTACAATGAATCTGATGACTGCATAGAGTCCTTAGGTGCCCATCAGGGTGGGTAAATCCATGAAACGGACCCACAGGAGGATTTTCTTCAGTTCAGTGTGACACCTCAACAACAGGCACACACGCAGCTGTGTAGCTAGGGGTTTGCTACCAGTTTTGTTCCAGCAGATTGTAGAAAGGGAGGCAGCAAAAGAGCCTGAGCCTGTATTGCATACGGAATCCAAAAGGGATGTTGAATGTACATATTAGCACCACCACCTTTTTAGTCTATTGAGAATGTACATAGCCAAGTGTCAGAAGAGATTTCTAAGGGTATTACAAGCTAGCTGCTGTTTGCTTCTCTTGGATACCATTTCTACTGTCAGCTTATATACTGAAATCAGCAGGCTAATTTGCAAATGCACTGCCAGCCCTGATAGGTGTCTGGAGCTCTTGAACCAAGTAAAATTGTCACTCTGATTAAATCTCTCAAACTCTGCTCTCTGTCTTCACAGAGCAGCCTCGTACTGAGTCTGAGTGGGAGAACAGCTTCACTCTGAAAATGTTTCTTTTTCAGTTTGTCAATCTGAACAGCTCTACCTTTTATATAGCATTCTTCCTTGGAAGGTAAGACCAGTATGCGTACGCTTATGTTCACATAATAAAGTAGAGAGGAGAAGTACAACTGTCTGTAATGAAACAAAATGGGACTGTATAACCAAACATCTCCAAATGCAAATTCCACACTAGCAAGATGGGACAGATTATTTCATTGTCTTTTAAAAGGTCCAGAAACAGACATATTAGTATCACTTCCTAACACCGTATTACCTCTTAACAATTGCACTACTGGAAACTGATGCCTTCCACAATACTATATGTGCAGGTCACTTTGTCTTTCTTCATGTGTATAATTTGTACAGGTAAGTAAATAATTTAAGACTGTCTTTTCCAAATACTAAATACTTTGCTTCCTTCCTTATATGATTTGGTCTGTTTTCTGTGAGCTGAGAGCTATTAGAATTTGGGTTGTTTTCTACAGAAAATGAAAAACTCTGTGTGTGTGTGTGCATGTAGATGTATGTCTCTCTCTCTATTCTGCTTTCCTAAAAGCAAAAGAAAAGCCTGTCAGCAGAGATGGAGTATCCATTAGTGTGGATTATTTGCATGTGAGAATCATTCAGGGGAGAAAACATGACAGATTCACAGAAGGCAGGTGCCTGCTCCCTCATTAGGGTCTAAGGAAATGGTCTGGTGGTTGAAAGTCAATTTCCAAAGCCATTTTCCAAATTGACATAATCAATTTTATTCAGATTTGCTCCCTCCTCTGCATAGTAAACATTAAACAACAGATTATTTTGTATTCATATAAAGCTAGAAGCTTTATATGAATTGGCGCTCCATATGAATTATTTTCATATACTTGGCGCTCCATATGAATTATTTTAAGAATCTCCCAAAACTTTTTGCAGCATAATGTCTTTTCCAGTTATATCAATCCTGCAAACATGACATGAGACATAAAACAGTGTGAACTTTCTTCCATTTTTGAGAGCAGAGGGCTCATACAACATAGTTGATGTATATTCCTGTGTTAAAGATTTACAGGACACCCTGGTGCCTACTTGAGGCTGATAAACCGGTGGAGACTAGAAGAGGTGAGTGTTGTGTTACTGAACAAGCTGCACTGATTTATCTGTCGCCAGGGTGGCTGCAAACCACAGAGGCAAGCACATCTCTGCCTAGGTGTTTTTAAGTATATTCCTGGATTCTTGGTTGCTCCGTAACTCTAAGCTACTGACTGTCTACCATCTGTGAAAAAACATCTGTGTATTGATATGTGCATCTGTGTATTTTTTGCAGGGCTCTTCGTTTGACTGGCAATGACAAATGGTTTAAAATTTGCTCACTTTATTTTAGAAAAATTCATCCTTGAAATAAATTGAATTCAGATATGAATCTGATGACTTTTGACTTCTAAAATGTTCTCCCCTCTCAGTTTTTTAAGCCTTGCTAACCAGGGAGCTAAATAGTAATAATAATAATAATACTAATAGTAATATTAATAGCCACTGCTAAAATGAGTAAACCCTGGCTGGAGAAACTGAGAACCTTTATGTGATAGTGAGAGGCTTTTATTTTTTCAATAAAAATAGCAGTCCATTCATTCATTTGCATTACTCAGTAAACAATACCAGGACTATCCTCTGTGTATAAACTGTTTGTATGTGCAGCCAGGAGGAATTTTGCACTCATTCTTAAAATTGAAGCCTAGTCAGTCTCCTCAAAACATATTGAAATCATTGGAGAAACTTGTATTCTCCTTGCCTTTGTCCCACCTACAGTCACACAGTACCTTGGCATCATTAGTTTGAAGTGTGAAGAATCAGCATTGATTTCTGCTGATTCTGGTTTCTGCAAGGAATTACATGATGGGCTTAAAAGACTCATGATACAGCTTCATATGCTCCCATGAGTTTAAATTCAAATATATATATATACACACAGCACAGAATTTCCCTTAAATATATTTACCTAATATTCATGTACACTCTTTAAGAAATGCTTAACAACTCAGCATTATTTGTTTAACCTTTTGTTCCTCTTTTCTGTAGTGCCACCCTAGTGGATGCCTTATTGATCTCTGTATGCAAATGGGTATTATAATGGTGCTAAAGCAGACCTGGAATAATTTCATGGAACTGGGCTACCCGTAAGTCAATGCCATGCTTCTGCTTCTTTAGGGCAAAGAACAATATTAAGTTTATTGCTGCCTTCTGACCAGATACATGAAAGAAAGATACAATAGTAATTACAATAGAAAATCCATCCTAGGGTAGCGAATGCTTAAGACAGATTTCTAGACATGTAGAGATAGCTGTAGTGTCTGCTTTTTACGCTGAATATAGTTTTCAACAGTGAAATATAGCCAGTAAATAATACATGGGAAGGAAGTGCTTGATTTTATTAAATTGCATTGTTTTAAAACTCATTAAAAATCACTGTAGGACTACAGTGTTCCTTATGCAGGAAATATTATATGTATCATTTTTATCTGCTTCAGTAAGTTATAAATTGCATTTCTCCTTGCTGAGTGATAAAAGATGCCTGAAAGGCAGTTATTGGCTGGAAAAAAATGCCCTGCTAACACATACATGCTCAGAGATAGAAAAAATGTTCAGACCTGATGCATAGGCAGGTGGAAATGCCCCACTTCAGGGCATTGTAGGGTTTTGCCCTAGCTAAAAGGGTTGACGAGTATTCATCTCCTGTTTGCTTATTTGCCATTAATATTTAATAAGCATAATTAACATAGACGGTTGATGGCAGGCAGCGTCTGGTCCCCTTGGCTGGTCACCAGGGGGAATTAGCAAATAGGAGAATGTGAGGAGAGCTGGTGCGCTCAGGAGGTTTGGCCCTGTGTAGCTCTGCCGCGCGGTGGGCCGTGCCCTGCTGCAGGATCCGCAGCGGAGCTGGCGCGGGGTTTGGTCCCTGCTGCGCGGCAGCACGTGCTGCAGCAGCCTCAGCGCTGGCCACATCCCACCGTGATGAACACGGGGTTAGTGATCCAAGCAGGCAGAGCAGCTGGGAATCCAGGCGGTCGGTCAGCACTCGCTGTCTCTCCTGGGTCCCCCTTCTGGGTTGGCGCCCAGCTCTGCCCGTCACTGCTCTGCAGTAGTTACAGCCGGAGGGATTAGCCAGGGAGGAAAAACAACAGCAGCAACAGTGATCCTTCTCTTTCCACTGCATGTCCCTTCTGCCCGTTTCACTTAGATCTTTTGGGAAGCTGCTAATAAGGATTTTGAAGCCTAATAAAGGGCACCAAGAGGATTAACAAAGGGGACTCAAGGAGATAGAAGGGATCATTTAAGAAGGACGAGAGATTTAATAGAGTGAACTCAAAGTCAGTCAACTCATTTTGGAATCACAACACAGATCTGGGTAATGTGAGAAGCTAAGACTTGTTCTGAGGAGGAAGGAATTTGGTCTCCAGCCCTTTTATTCCCTCTCTCCTACCCCAAAAGTCCTCTGAAGGAGGATTTATTTCCCTACCTCCACCCTCTTCCTTTTTGGGGGGGTGGAAAGTAAAACATCCTCTAGCTAAATGCATGACTGGAACCAACACTGTGTGGATGATCACAGGATTTGGCAGCAATCTAGCATTTTACAAATTCATTGTGCCTCCATCCACGTACTGGCTATAGCCTGCCCAGACTCTGGCAGTCACCAGCACTGCACTTCTCCAAAGCCAGCAGTGGGGGATGTGTCCCTATAAAATAGCCCTACGAGACAACCTAAAGCAGCCTTTTTTTCTTCTGGGGCTTTTATTTTACTTTGTGGTTTTTTGCCATGTTTCAGCTCTAGTGCTGGCATGTGCTCCTACAGGGACTTTGGAGACACACGGGACAATCTGAAATGCTCCTCTGGGCTCCAGCTGTTCTTTTGTAACAGGAACCTCAAAGGTTGCTGTCACTTCCCTCCCTCATACCTGTCACATTAGCTTACATTTTAAAATTTCTGCCTGAGAGTTAAAAACAAAATTTCAAAGAAACCTGCCACAGAAACCAGAAAGTTTCCCTGAGTGTGCTGAGGTTTGAATGCTGGCGCATTTGTTGCTCAGTGGTTACATGTTTTGATGCAAATACTGTCATGTCAGAGGGCTGCTCTGCTTCCTATAAAACCTCCAGAAATGTGAGTCAGTTCTCCCCTCCCGCAGCGCTAAATACATGCAATAACTAGGAAATGAAGTATAAATTATTGCTTCACTTGAAGCTGGGAAACTGCAATTTCAGCTTGGCGTTTGACTTGGAAGAAGAACATGTATACATGGAGAAGAAGACATTACATTACATTACATTGCTCACATTTTTCAGGACATACAAATTGGAAAAAGACATTTCTTTGGATATTACCAGCAGTCTTCAATGTTAGTAACACTGGGCATAGGCTTCCCCTCTCACACAATAGGAAATTAATTGGGATGCATCTCACAGTATTGGTCTCCCATTCACTTGATCCCTCAATTTTCCCTCTTTGCAGGAGTTCACTTCTAAACTCTGTCACTATCCCATGGTAAGGGTAGGAAAGGTAGAGTACCAAAAGGATGCCGTGGACTTCGGAGAATTTCTTTTACTGATCTTAATCCATCAATCACAATCTTGTTAACAAGAGTGGAACTTTTTGCCTTTTTACATATTAGAGACCAAGACCAAGAGAAAATATTTCTTTTTGCTTGTTTTTCTTTTCCTTTCTCTGCTAGCTGTAACTCATATCCCTTGTTGGCCAAAGCTACCAATGCATCTCTCTGACCTAAGGGGCCAGGCTGTGGTGTTTATTTCAGATATAGTCATTCCTTTCCCCTGGCTCAGTGCCTCTCTCAATGCCCCACACATCTTTCTTCAAGAACAAGGTGTTTTTCCCGACAGTTCCCTCAGCCATCTCGAGATGGAGATAGCTTTCAGATCAGCAGTTTTCATGGCCACCCAGTGTGCTGTCAGTAGCCCATCCCTTCCGTCAGCCCTTTGTTTCTTCGAGCAATCAGTTCCAGACACTATTTCCATCCAAAGATACTTTCATCCCCTGCAATTGCTCAGGGATTATTTGTCACACACACCATTGAGCTACACAGAGATACCAGCTCACATGCAAGGAGAAGTCCAGCTGTATCAGCTCTCAATTTCCTCATTTCTCACTCGGATTTCACATGTCTCCACACAGCATTGCATTGGGCTATATGAACAGGCCCCCAAACAACTTGCCATTTTGTGCAGGGAAGAAGCAGCCTAATAAAAGGTTGTCAAAATCTCTCTTTCATTCTGATATCATGTAGGCCTCACTAACAGCCCACCAGCTTTATCTGTTTGCACACCAATTTCACTGTTGTCAGCCACGTGTATTACTAATGCTGTGTCCTTCTGTGCTTCTGGAAATTCATTTTGCAAGGTATGTTGTGCATGCTTAGCCTCTACCTAGTTTTGCAATGAGCGGTCAATAACATTCTTTATTTTGTTTCTATACTTTATTTGAAAATGTAGGCTAATTCAAAACTGGTGGACTAGGAGAAAACTACGACAAGAGTATGGCACACAGAGGAAAACAAGTTTCCCACAGTGGGAAAAGGACTACAACCTTCAGCCTATGAATGCTTACGGACTCTTTGACGAATACCTAGAAATGAGTATGACACTGACCGCATTTCTCTCTCTTTTGCTAAATTTTAACATTTTTATTGATGTTGAGGGCTGTTGTATTCTTTTAAGTAATGCTGAATGAAGCTAATGAGGCTACAAAATGATTTTCATTCTCACAAGGCAGGTGAGGAATGGGAGTGAGTTTTAAAGGAACAAACTACATCAATATAGCTAATCACGCTGCTTCTGGTTTGCTAACCTTGCATTTATGAAACACTCCAGAGTCTGGCTTTGTGAAGGCAAGATTGTTTTCCAGATTGCTGCCCACCTCTTTGCTTGTATACACTTCTACACAACTTTGCTGTTTTTTGCTCAAGGAAATTCCCTTGAGCTGTTATATTTCAAACTGTGTGGCGCAGAACTATATGCTTATTTATGTTTAAAATTTGTCACTATTTGCTACCTCGCATTTACAAAGTAGCTTGCTGCTAAAAGGCATTGCTTAATCCAGAGAAGAGGGAAGGGTAAATTATGTAAGAAATGTTAAGAGAACAGGAACTTTTGCCTTATGTGACTGAACTGCACATGCCATCAACAGTTTTTTTCTCCATTCTTTTTAAATTAATTGGAAGTTTGACAGTTGGAGAAGCTGCTTTTACAAATTTGCTTGAGTGGTTTCAAATGACTGCACTGCAAAAAGAAGCGTATTCAGCTCTTAGCTTTTTAGGTACTGAGAGATCCTAGCTGAGGCTGGAGTAAAAATATTTACTCTCTAACAGTGTCACTTTTTGACCTCCAAAATTCTCTCCGAGTTACAAAATCGGAATGTGGCCCTCTCTCCAGATAGATGAACATTTGTGCTCTCCTCCTGGCTCTGAACATTTGGAAAAGAAATGCTGTGCAAGAGGCACTAGACTATTATATAGCACAGAATAAGGTGAAATGTTGTATATATCATCTTCCCCATATAATGCCTTGGCATCTTAGGCCTTGGGATAGAATCTCAACAGTTACATTATGATCTTTCTTTTCTAGTTCTTCAGTTTGGGTTCACAACCATTTTTGTGGCAGCTTTTCCACTGGCACCACTTCTGGCCTTACTTAACAATATTATTGAAATTCGGCTTGATGCATACAAATTCGTGACACAGTGGAGGAGACCTTTAGCCTCAAGAGCCAAAGATATAGGTGAGCTCCGTATGTGGTTGTGTGTATGTGTGAGCAGGCACGCGTTCAAGCATGTGTGTGTGGTGTTAATTTCAAGGCAAAGCAAGGACTTCTTCAAGCAAGAGTGATTTAAGCAGTTTTCACTCTTTTAACCCATTGCAATTAAGAGTTCATATTGAAAAATATCTCAATGACTTTCTGGGTCACTTATCAGCTAAGATGTTTTAATAAAGTCATCAGTGTTCTCTGTAGGCTTTTTCTTGTGGAAGACATGATGTGTGACCACATGTAGCTGCTCAGTTTGAATATAATAACCAGACAAAGCAGATGACAAATGAAAACCAAATTAGAACAGCTGCTGTTCTGTAACAGTCCTGCGTGTTTTCTAGATGTGTGTTAGCACCTTGGCCAACAAGTTCCCTTGTGATTCTAGGGCTGTGTCCACTTGGTCTCTGGGTAGGTTAGTCTGGGAGGGTCTAAATTCAAAGAAACAAACTGCTCTCAATGAGGCACCTACATTGCTAAACACAGACCTTGCATTGCTGGGAGGTCACCAGCCACACACTGCTGCAAGGGCTCTCTGAGCATAGCTTGACTATAATCTCCTCCATCCTTGCAGTGTGCAAAAGCTGAATGCTTCTGGAAAAGCATAAAATCAACTCATCTGCCAATGCCGATTCCCTGGTGTCTTTGAATGGGTAAATAGATGCCCTGCTGCACTGCTGAAAGCACTGTATTTAGCCTAAAACCTAGAACAGCAGAATCCAAGACTTCCTCCTCTGTATACATGTATACAATGTATCTAAAATCTGTGTCTCAGTATGAGAAAAGGGTGGAACTAAAGGGCATTTAGGTACAAACAGGGACTTCAGCCAGCACACAACCCACACTGGAAACACAATTCAACACAAAACAATGAAGAAATTTTTTAGGGACAGCATGATATCTCATCAAAATCAGTAGATGTGTCTAGCCTGCTTTTGGTGCGATTCTCAGTGTTGGTCCCTATGACCATGTCACTGTGAGCCCTTACTGCAGAGCTGTGGGTCTGTTCAGATTGGGCCCAAAACGCCCAGGTCATGCCTAGGATCCCAGCGTGCTGTTGTCCATGAACATTTACGTTAATGTCATGCCATGACAATATGGATAGAGACAGGAACTGGTGGCACCCAAGGCCTCTACAAACACAGGCAGACTGTGAACTGCATGTGCTCTTATGTGCAAACCCTCCTCCAAGCATAAGAAGGGAGGCCTCATAAGCCCTGAGGTTTGCAGCTTTTCTTAAAACTACTCATGCTGGTTTGGTTGAGCAAAGACCTCCATGAGCACTTTTTTTTTTTGGCTTCAATCCTTTGATGGGAGTAGAAATTGGGTCCATTGAAGTCCTGCAGTTTAACATGAAAGATTATTTTTACTTACTATCTAATAGAAACTGTATTAAAAAATAAAATAAAAATAAAAGGTTGGGGCAACTACTCCAGATCATGTAGTATTTGAAGAACTTTTGTCCTTGTTTCCCTGAAGCTAATGTACTCTCTTTTTTGGACAGGAATCTGGTATGGGATCCTGGAAGGCATTGGAATTCTCTCTGTTATCACAAATGCATTTGTTATAGCTGTGACATCCGATTTCATCCCTCGACTTGTTTATGCTTACAAATATGGACCTTGTGCAGGCCAAGGAGAAGCTGGACAAAAGTAGGTTTTTCTTTGGGAAAATTATTGTGCATTAAAATTACTGCCTCCTTGAACATATGTATGGAGAAACAAAATTTTATTGCTTGTGCTTAGGTAACACATATTAGCCCAGGTATTGACATATTGTATATTCATAGAATGAGTTGCTTAGGTAACTATAATTTATGACATTAATTCAAGGAAAACATGGCAGAACCATTAGAGAGATTTGGTGTGTGTAATAGTATGCCATTTTCATCCTTGATTCCCTCCTGCACTTCCCAGCTGGTGTACATGGATGTAACCCTCTTTAGTTATGAGACAGTGCTGATATTTATCAGATATGGATTTAATCAACACTTTAAACTTGTTCACTAAGCTTTTTTTTCTTTTCCCCTGATATCATATTCAATGTGCATTGGTTTGAAAAGCAATGTCTAATGAGAAGAAGCAATTCCCAACCAATAAATCAAGGTATAGTTACAGGGTGGAGTAATCTGACTTTCTTCTAAAACTAGAGTCTGTTAGATTAAACCTTTCCGGAGACATTTTGGAACTGAATCCCTGCTTCCTAAGCAGCTTTTCTCTCAGTTTCGGTAAGCACTGAGACTGGGCGAGGGTTTGCACACCCACCAGCAAGTGGGAGTAGAGCTGCTAAATGGCAGCTTTTGAAATCTGGTCTGTCGGGCTGCAGGGAGGTCACCGGTTCCATCCCAGCACACAGGGACACTGTTTACAATTCATCTCCAAGCCACTCCATTAGTAAGGACCTTACTGTTAAAAGAAAGAGTCGAGAGAGTGCTTATGTTTTGCTATAGCAGATTGATTATTTTTCTCCTCTGCTACAGAAAGTGGGTTCTTTTGTGGCTACTTTTAGCCAACTTTTGACTGTCATTACTGTTTAATATTATTGATAGAAGAAAGGCAGTTCCTGGCATGGCAGTTCTTAAACAGCAGAGCTGCTAGTCAGCTTGCTGTCCTCAGAGGAGTCTAGCATTTTAGTAGGTGGCATGGGGCAATATTCCATTTATATTTGTAAAGAGTTAGAATCTTCTCACTGGTCAAGAGTTTGATCCAATGCCAGTAATTCCTCAGCATGTGCTTACCTTTGTGCCATTACAAATTTCCATAAGACATTGAGTCACTATCAGCAATTTCCCTGCACTATTGATTTTCTCAGGACTACTGTGAAAAAGCAAAAAGAGTTTAAAATGTTTATTTTTATAAAGAAGCAAATATGATTCACTGACTTTCAAAATACTTCTGCATAGGGCTTGGCTCAAGAAGGAAGCTCTTGTCATTTTAAAAACATCTTGTACATTGTGTTTGCACATCTTTGACATTTTTTCTAAGTGAGCTTCTCAGGTATAATCTGAGATAGAAACTTTTTTTTTATCACTGAGTAACTTAAATGAATGAGGCTCCTTCTCTCAGAAGATATCTCTAGTTGTTAGACCTATGTGACTGTGACACATACAGATACTATACATATATATATTAAAAATAATAATAATTTAAATTCCAAATTAGAATAGATCCTTAAAAAAATCTATTTTGTTTTGATGTAGGAGACCTGGCCTCATACTGCTATCATTATAATCCAGCAGTACCAAACCAGATCGATAGTTCAAATCTCCCTGAGTTATTATTTCTAATTGTTGTGCCAGAGGTTCAGAAAGTTGAAAGTGAATGGTTCTCCATTCACATGGGGTTTGCTGTGCAGTAAGAGTATGAATTTTACATTCCTTGAGAAACTATGTTTAAATGCTATGTGCCTTTGACTCAAAATCCCCATATAGGATCCCTTTAAATTAAAGGATCTATTTAGGCAACCGAAGACTCTTGGTACCCCTAGCAGTTCTTGGCAGGACATAACTAGTTTTCAAACTCTCCATTAAAATGATTTTCAAGAATGGGTTACCTCACCCAGAATTCCTCTAAGCTCATCTTAGAGCTTGTCCAAATTGTTCAAATACCTGTAGGATGGCTGCTGGAATCAAAGCATTGTTTGAGAGGCTTTTTGTTTAATGGATGTTTGAGAATCACTTTCTGTTGCAGCCTTAAACAGAGTCAGTCAATTCCTTGACTTACTGGCAAGTCACTGCCACTGACTTACAATACTGTAAGTCAGAATTGCCTGGAAAAAAACCTACTAACGGGGATATTTAGGAGCTATACCTATGCTATTTATATCTGTTTTGTGCAGTACTCATCATTTGGGTTCAAATACTATACTTGCAGAGTATGCAGCATATCACATGGAATAGTTTTGTGAATAGCTTCAGTTATATCTGATCCTTTTTTGTGTTGGAAAATATGTTTAAACAGCTTTTTGATTAGCTCAGTTCAGCATAACTGTTAGGAGAACAGAGTTAGCTTTGTTCCCTCCTTCCTTCTTCCTGTCTTGCAATCTGGCAACCTTGTGTAATGCCACAAGTGTTCCTTAAGTTCTAGATTTGAAGATAGTGTGTCAAAATGCTCAATTCAGTTGACTGAAGAATTTAAAGCTTTCTCAGTCCCCCTGCTCTGCACAGACCTGAACGGTGAGCCTAGACTTACCTGGGCTTGGAGCTGTGCAGAGGGAACAGCACAACATTCTTCCCACAACTTCATTAACACTGAGTTGGAGCTTCTTAGTGACTCACCAACAGCCCTTTGTCAGGCATGGTACATTCCTTAGTACCTCATGTTCTGCAAACCTGTGTCTCTGAATGCTCAGTCACAGTGAAATCTTTCAGTGCTGAGATCCTTTGATTAACTGGACATTTTGGAGAGGAAAAAATTGTCTGGTAAGTCCAGTTATTTCCCTGAGCTATTTTAAATCAATCTCTTCTCCATTTAATTTAATGTCCTTTGTGCTTGTGTTATGAGAGTACCAGTGGAAGTATTCCAATTATCTTCCTAGTTCCACTCATTATTTTTTCTACTATGTCAACTTCTAGTAATCTCTTTTCTGAGTTAGCCAGTTTCTTTAGTTTTTCTTCTCCCATAAAAGTCTGCCATTGCTTCACTTTTATGGTTTAGCTGACCCACTTCAGCATTTCTGTTATGTTGCCTCAACAACCTTTTCAGATATTAGTAAGTGTCACAGTTAACTGTGGATTTTGTGAAACTCAGAGAATATCCTCCTGGGTAGAGTAGTTAATGGGAAAACCTTGCTGTGCCCTGACTGTCCAGGACATTTTTCTTCTCTAGGTGTATGGTTGGCTATGTTAATGCCAGTTTATCTGTATTTCTGGTGTCTGACTTTGAAAACCGTTCAGAGCCAACATCAAATGGAAGTGAATTCTCTGGTTCACCATTGAAATACTGCAGGTAAGCATCTCATTAAAACACCTCTCTGCTTATAAGGCACTGCAAGGGAGAAGTATCGTGATACATTTTGAACTTCAAAAAAAAAGCAACAGAAAAAACAGAAGTGTAGTATTCAATACACACTAGTGATACTGGTTGAATATTACTTGCAGGACTCCTTCCTTACAGCTGAAGGAGAAGCTGAAAAATGGGTATTTCAAAGGTGCTCAGGATTTGCATGAGGTTATGGGCTGAATCAAATATTATCATGGAGATAATATGGTATCACAGGGCTAATAATAGTTGACTAGAGTTACTTAGGTACCAGTGAGTTGAAACTGCCATCAGGTTACAGCATAACACATGCACAATGAAGCCAAATTGCCCAGGAGTGACCACATTGAATCATTTCACAGGTCTGTCTAGCCTAAATGGTGCCTATCCTCAGCTTGCTTTAGAAGTCTATCTGCTGAATCGTTATTGTGTTTCTATGCTTGCTTGTGGGTGTCAGTTTAGTAATAATCTTATACTTCTGATCATCTCAGCTTGCAGATTGGACAAATAGCCGTCTGGGACGAGCTTGTAATGAGAGAGATAAGCAACTAATTAATATTAATGGCCCAAAGAATTAAGGTTCTACATAAAGATCTTAATCAAAAAATACCACATGACAAATATACTTTTTCTATTGCAATGTTGGTTTACCAGCATGAGTCCTGGTAGCTGCAGATTCTGATCACTCTCTCCCTTTCTTTCCCAGCTTCAGGCATTGGCTTGCTGCTACTCAAAGCCAGTGGTAGAAATCCCATTAATGAATGCAAAAGTTGTTCTCTCAATATCCCATACATGGAAGACTATTAAAATTGGTGCCCCAAATCTCTAGAAGATAAATCTGTTCTTTGGAGGTACAATGAATTCGATGTATACCTACCCTTGATAGAAGATGTCTTACTTTCTCTAGCTGAGTTTTTCAGCTACTTAACCCATCTGAATTCTGCTGAAATTTCAGTCATTTTAACTGTACTTTTAGATAGATATTGATAAGGAAGGAAATACTTGTATTAGTTTAGGCATTTTTCTAGGAAGGGCAATCTATCAGAACCCCCAAAAAGTGACCATATTCTGATGCTTTTTTGCAACACAGATATTCCTGTGCCATTCTGGTTTTTTATGAAAGTTTTCTTGTATTTCTGCATGTGTAGTACTTGGTTCCTAACAAATTCAAAAATATGAGACACTCTGCTGAGTTGGGACCTGAGCCAAGGGTTTAAGTTATGAAGCATTCTAAACTTTGAAGTCAGCATGCTGACTGCAGAGAAGATCATCCCAGATTTAAGAACTTGCACTGGAGATAATACAATTTAAGAAAAAAAATGTTGCTGACTAGGATCCCAAAATGGACTTTATTTTATTTTGTATAGCACCTTCTGAAAACTCAGAAGGTGACACTTAAGGGCGAAACGTAGATTAACTCGCACAAAGATGAAATTACTGTTTATTTCTTTACTCTTCTGAGTTTTCTTTAGTTTCTTATAACTGACTTAGAGATCAAGCTTTACTATATTATCTACCGTGGCATTTTCATTGTTGTTTGTAATGGATTTTACATCCCATGTAGGAAACAGACTGAGAAAAAATGAATGTCCCACTACTTTTAAATTAAGTTTCTACAATGTTATTTTGGAATTACAGGAGTGCTAATAAAAATGGGCTACAGAATGGTCAAATTTGCCTGATTCATGATTTGTTCATGTAGTTTTGGAGTTCTCGTGGACCTAAGTTTCACAATAGACATCTCTTAGTACTTTGTTGAGACCTGAAGTCTTTAAAGAATCATTCTGGAGCCAAGGCACTAGATCACTTTCTGACACAGGCTTTGATGTGCTGCTCTGGCTCTGTTAAGGTCAGAATCAGTTCCCTCTAGGCCTTGGATGCCTGGGCTTCAGACAGAGACTTCAGTAGAGCTTTATTCCAGGGATGCTCCAAAGGCCAGATGGTACCTATGGGTTTTGGGAATGTGCTTACGTGTTTTAAGATGTGAACCAAAGTGTGGCAAGTGGTGGTGATCAGGATATTGGCTTAGCATTGTTAAAATAAAACACTAGCATAGGTGTAGCCTAAGAAATAAGCAGGAGTTTTGGTGAGTTATCCAGTATGAATAGCGATTATTTTGGTGCCAAAAAGATAAAGAGCAATGGGTTTTTGATTTGCTCTTGCTCTTAGGTAGCAGGCTGGGAGCTTGCTAACTACCAGACTCTGTTTGTCTTCCAGGTACAGGGACTACCGAGACACTCCTCACTCTGCTGTGCCCTATGGATACACGCTGCAATTCTGGCATGTCTTAGCAGCACGGCTGGCTTTCATTATTGTATTTGAGGTCGGTGGCCATTCCATTGGAAAGTGTATTTATTTCTCTGCTGTAACAAAAACAAAAAAAAATGAAATGGATTTCCATTTGAAGCTTTTCCATTAGGCCCAACTGAGACGGTAGCAGTTGAGCTTTTCCTGCGAGTTTCTGATATTTATATCGTAGTTTGTATTTCCCATTCTGTTTTCTGAAAAGTATTTCAGTTTTAAATGAAAGGTGAACACTTCGATAAAACTCACAAAGTAAATAAAAGCATCGTTTACTTCCCCTATTTGCATATCACCATTATAGTTTTCATTCAAATTCTGTGTTGGCTGGGAAGCTGTATGCTCACAAATGAGTCAGTATGGGATTAAAGAACATGAGAGAAAAGGATGAAATTTGAAGAATTTAAAAATGAAGAAGTTTAAACATTTGTGGGGTGTTTTTTAGATGCTAAAATAATGCTATTATATTAGTACTTACTGTCAGACAAGTCAGCATCAAATAACTCTTAATGAATGGGGATTCAGAAAAAGATAGAAGGGAAGGAAGAAGAATAAACTGAGATCATTTACCAACCAAGATGCAACTCCTGAGGCTTGAATTCCTGATGCTTGAAAATCCACAACTCCTGTCAGAAACAAGGTGCTCAGCATCGCTCCAGCATAAGCAGTATGAAACGCCTTTTATTCTGTGAAGAAGCCAAACAGAGAACAAACCATTTTTTGAAGTCTGTCTTCCTCTCTGAAGTCATAGCAACTAGGACTTCCAACACAGATATAGAAGTTGTAATCACCATAAATTATTGGCACACCCTTTATGAGCACATATTGTGTTTCTGACTCAAATACTGTGTAAATTCATTCCAACTTGGGATTTCAAAACACCTCTTTGAATCACAGAACAGAAGCGTCCAAGTTAGAGGGAAGGTAAGGAGCCAACTTGTTTGCAATACAGCTGAAGGAAATGCTGAGTATTTTGTGGTATCATTTTTGTATAGAAAGCAGTTCATCCCAATAGAGAGATATTAATTCCTAACAGGCTTTGATATAGTGGATCAGACTGCATTTCTCTCTATCTCATCCCATAGTGCAGCACCCTGTACAAATATTGTTATTCACCCATTCAGGTATGAGTTTCAGGACACAGAGAGGTTAGATGTCAGGAGCAGCTTAACTTCATGAAAATAGTGCTCTACCCAGGTGAACTTGTTGTACTGGTATGGTATATCTGTACTGATGTTACCACTAGATATACCTATCAGCAGGTATATAGGTGTTTTTTGCTTGGCATTGTCTTCCCCAGGTGTTAGGAAGTATGTGCTTGGGTCTTCCTCTTACTCTTTTGCAAAAAATGCAACATGACAAAAACAGATGAAAAACCATGACTGAGATGGCAAAGAGTGGTGTGCCATGTGTAGACAGAGAAGTGTGTTCTGAAAGAGCAGCAACAGGAGGGCATGCCAAAGGCTTCCTAGGACTGCTAGGTATGGGACCAGAGCACCGTGACTGGAGCTCAGGAAGCGCCGCTGATTATTGACATAGATCATTTTTCAGATCAATGGACCTTGAGGAAAATGGGTTTGCTGATGTGTGACTGGGGCACCCCACCCAGAACTCTTGATCCTGCTCCATACGTGTCAATGCGTCTCGATCTCCAGATGTCTCGAAGCCTGTGGATTTCCACAGCTACTTACTAGATGCCAAGAATTATCAGTGACTGCTAGGAGACTTGTGTTCCTCTGGCTCACAACAGGCATCTGTGGCTTTCCCTCTGATAAAGAAAAAAGAATAAAGGAAAATCATAGGGAGTCCTCATGTGTTTGCTCTCTTAGCTTGGTAGTTTCAGAAATAAAAACAGTTGGACATTTGTAGCAGAAAATACACTTGTTTTTGTCTACAGAGAAGACTAATCTTTTTTTTGTGGGGGGCGGGCAGGGAGTGCTACATTTACTACAGTAGAAGATTTCCCGATTAGATAAATAATTCAAGGTATTTCTTTCAAAAATTTATATATTAACTTGTCTCAGGCACCCCCTGGCACTGAGCAATGTGGTAGTGGTTATTTTGGCCTAGTTCATAAGCAAAGGCTTTTTCCATTGCCCAGGCTTAAATTGGCATTCTTTGATGCACCTAAGGCTGAAGAAGCATATTTATTTATTCATTTATTTATTTATTTATAATTTGACTAAAGAACAGCAAGTTAGACTTTGCTGCTTTCTTCTCTTGAGGGCAAAGTACATAGAAACACATTATATTTTCTCGTCAGTGCCTCTCAAAGGAAGGATTTGTATTGGACAAGAATTGTCCAATTGGACCTTTATTTCTCCCATTTGGAATGAGTGTCTAATCCCAACTTGCTGAGATGCAGGATTAGTCTGTTTTTCTATTCCTCCTCTCAAATCAAATGAGTAAATGTTCAATCAGAATCTTTTAGGGAAAAAAAAGAGAGACTTAAGCAATCCTTCCCCATCCCACTTGAGCTTTGCCATGGCATGCCTAAAACATGAGATACAAAAGATCAATTACTTTGTATTTAATTAGGATGTTTAGTAAATGTGAGCATGGTTTTGGGTGAGGTATAGAGTGCAAGAGATCTGCTTTTCTTTACACAGACAGTTCACTGGTTTGAATACTTACACAAAGATTTTGTGAAAACAAATTAGTGTTATATCACTTGATCCGCTGTAGAGTGATCCGCTAATGCCAGGTTCTTCCCATATGAGTCAACTGCAAAGAATGAGCACAAGGGTTTGAACACACAGAAAGAGGGACCTTGTGTGGGCCTGGCTGCCCTTGACCTTTGCTGAGGTCCACAAGCCAACGCCTTCAGCTGGAGTCTTGGTAGGAAAAAGCTTTGTGATTTGTTTTCTTCAAATTTAGTAATAGGTTTAGTTCTGACACAGCGTCTACGTGTGTTGAAAGAAGAAGGTGTTCAAGAGGAATAGAAAACACTTGTTTTCTTCCTGAGCATATATTCATTTTCAATCCTTTTTGTTTTCACAGCACCTTGTCTTTTGCATAAAGCACGTGATTTCCTACTTAATCCCAGATCTCCCGAAAGATTTGAGAGATCGGATGAGGAGAGAGAAATACCTGATTCAGGAAATGATGTATGAGGCTGAACTGGAACGTCTGCAGAAAGAACGGAAGGAAAGGAAGAAGAATGGAAAATCCTATCACAATGAGTGGCCATGATGGGGTGAGGAAAGAACTGCTTGAAGAAAAATAAGAATTATGTTCATAAGAATCTCCTTCTTTTCTATACTAGAAAGTGCAAAGCAAGAGAGGAATAGTTAGTGTATGCTGTGTGCCCTTAGCACACGTGGAAATGTGGAGGATTTTAATGATAGGTAATACGACTTGAGAAAAAAAGAAACTAGAAGGGAGTGCACTCTCCATCTCTCTGGCCTCTGCCTTCCTGCACTTTGCGTCCTCGCAGCGAGGAGCCTCCTTGTAGTGATCCATTTTCCTACAGGAAGAGGATAAATGGCGCAGCAGTTGCCTTTATCGGAGGAAGTGAACTTGTTTGCTAGTCTTTGCCTCAGCTTGGAGCAGCTATGGGCAATGCCCATGTGGACAGCAAGAAAAGGGGGATATTTCTGCCTCTGTAGATGTGATCCTTTGACATACCCGTGCTGGGAAGGCCAGTAGGTCCCACCCACATCTACAGGTGTGTATTGCACTTGCAGTCTGGGTTCTCTTGGGCACGATCATGTAAAATCACATCCAAGCCAAATTCACAGGCAGCTGTCTTATTTTACATATCCTGTGTGTAATAACTAAGATAATAGATGACAATAGCTAGGTAGTTTGCTAGGTAGTAAAATGAGACATGTCATATGTAGAATCAGTGTTGCCCCTAGGAATTTTAGCCTTTCCTAATGCCTGCAGCAAGACATGGCTTTGTCAGTATAATCTCTATGATTTCTAAGATCTGAAATGAAATGTATTACAGAATAAACTGACCTCCACTTCTGAGGAACCACTGCAATCTAATGTTCCAAAAGAAATAAAGTGCAGCAAAAGTGGAATAGATAATAATTGCTTTGGAGACCAATTTTCAATATAGCTGCATTCTGATGAATTTTTGTAATATTACATTACTAAAATTTGTGTCAGATTCTGCTCTAAATGAGAGTTTTCCAAGCTTACACTGAATATGATGCGGAAAGAGGCTCTGACCTTCCTGACACATCCTGAGTACATTTCTGTGGCTCAGTGATGACCAGTCAACTCACAGATGTTTCTGTGCACCTACTCTGCAGAACAGATTTGGCCTTTGTCCATCAAAGTTACATAGCAGAACACTCAGGAGAGATGACCCTTTTTTATTTATGTTTCATTAGAAAATTGTAAAACAAATAATAGACTGATGAGAATAAACAGAGTTTTAAAGGGCTCTAGCTAGCCACTTTATACTGGGCCCTTATTTCTAATCTGATAATCAGTTTTGTTTAAACTTCCAGGTGACGGGCCTATATGTTGTTTACTTATTCCAGCTCCACAAGAGCACTACCTTCAAGAGAATGAGAGAAAATGCAACCTCCAAGCATGCCACAGACATTTTCCATAGCAAGCAGGACAGTTCACATCAAAGGATTTACTGTGAAATCATCTTGCAATCAGCGTAGGATTGATCACCATAGACTACTCTTGACAGTAAGCATGTACTTAATAAGCAATTATACACCAGTTTTTAAAACCAAGGAAAAAAAATGTATATTGGGGCTGTTTTTCAGCCTGTTTGCTACGTTTTTTGCATTCTGTCCCATGTTGGTTTTACAAGTCTTAGAATAACAAATGTAAATGAAAAACCTGGATACTTGCAAACCTGGCAAAAAGAAAGCCTAGGTATATAACATCACCTGCTTTCAAGCTACCCAAAACTGAAACTTTGTTTACAAATGAGTTCATTTTTTTTATTTCAAAACTTTCTGAGGGGATTTATGTTATTTACCATATATAATATATATATATAAAAGTATATAGAGACATTGTCTATTTGTAAATAGAAAAATCCTATGGAAAGAATGTCAAGTTTTCACACTTAAAAAAACATCAACATAAAGCCATGTTTAATGCCTGTATAATGCGACGCAGTAAAATTTAAAATAAATTATGCATATGAAATCTTTGCTGTTTGGCTTTCATGAATTACTTTCTCTATACCTTATCTTTCCAGAAGGCAGGTAGACCGATTCAATTAAAGCAAATGTAAATGCAGAGCAAAAAGGACCAAAATCCAGTCAGTACCTTCTCACTGAAAGTCCTCTGCATACTTACATTGCCAAATGTTGTTAGGATTGTATTTTAGCTCCTTTTTAATGTTCTTACTTGCTTTCTCTCCTGACCCTACTGGATGCTAAGTGTAATTTATTTCCATGAAATTAATAGACCTTCAGCATGCTCAACTTCTTTGTGGGATGAGCGTCTAGCTGGAATATATAAGGGATCAGGATGGAGGAGAGCAACAGAGACACTAAGAATGGTCTTGCTGCTTTTTCTGTAGGCAAGTAGGTATTCTTGGCTGTGGGTCTAGCTAGAAGAGGATACTAAAAGGTCCCAGAGAAAATCTCAAAATTAAGAGCTTTAATTAGTAATGTCAATTTTAAAAAAAAGTTTATTGAAAAAAATAAAATAGAAGGAGTCACTCTGCAGCTCTGCAGCAATCCTGGAAGGTTTAATAGCAAGAAATGGGATAATTCCCAGAGTCCTCTGCAAAGTTCAAGGATGTTTGCCTCTAAAACTTCTAAAGCAAGATATTTTTCCCAGGAAATATTCAGCTTGCCATTCTGATGGTGGACCTACAGATACTGCAGCTAGACATATGTGGCCCAAACTTTCATTTTATACCAAATCAAAAGTAAGTGACTGCTCAGTGCTTAATAGTTCGACAATAAGTCAAACTTTAAGATGCTCATTTATGTGTGGTTTTAATAAATTATATGAATAATTATGCAAAAATATGAAAGAAAAGAAATTGCCGCAACATTTTTCTTAACTGTGATATCTGGGAAAATTAGCGTTCAGTGCATAAAAGAAAAACAGGTAGAAGTCACAGGTCTTCAAGACAGTTTAATGCATTTTCGATTATTGTGCAAAAAGTGATCACAGTACAGAGCAGTGCAGTAAAGAACGTAGTGCTGCTGTTCTATAGGAACCAGCTGGTAATGACCCTTCACCCCTGGGAAGCACACTCACATGGAAGATCAGCATGAACAGAGGATGTTGAAAGCACGGTAGCCCTTACTGCTGGGCACGGAGGTTTCTGTCTTGCTCTGTGCAACAGGGCAGAGGCACACACCGGTGCTTTTCATCACATTTTGGTGCTCTGAAGCATAGTAGATATCCTAGTATTTACCCTTTTTCAGGCCTGAGGGCTGGTAAGTACAAATTATTTTACTCCAGTGCTCAAGAATACAAAATGCAGTGTCTATTCCTCGAGTGTCATGGAGACAGCTCCTCCAGCACAGGAAGCAAACAGCCCCAGAATACAGGTCCCTGTCCTGCATCCCAGAAGACATTATTCAGGATGCTGATCTTGCCTCTGGTCTCCAATATGAGGAACACAAGATAGAGCAGGTATCTGGTCTCTAATTCCCTGGAAGAGGTCAGCCTCTTGGACCTCATTTTCACTTCCTTTTCTGGTCCTTCAGCTCATCTCATGTTACAGATCAAGTGCCCCCTGTGACAGGGGCACAGAATAGCTTGATTTAAACATCAAAGCCCAAGTCAGAGCTAGGGAAACTAGCACTAAGTCGTGTTCCATGCCACAGTGGCTCGGGGTCTAGCATAGCCACGGCACAGCTTTCAGAAAGCATTTAACATGTGCAGTCAATGTTTCATTTGGGTCTCGAGCATAACTGCGTTATGAGCTGCACAGATTGGCTTTCTTGCAAAGGCGTTTATGTTCCCAACTCATTCTGCTTCCCTAGAGGAGTTTTAAATATCCATGTACAGCTACAGCATAGGGCCTGCTGTACAAGAGGAGAGCAGCTCTGTCCCCCGCCGTGCCAGGGAGCGCAGAACGAGGACGCCTGGGGAGGCTGCGCCCTCCTCAGCCACAGAAGTGTGTGGTTATGGGGAAGGTGCCGGACGGCTTCCCTCAGCTGCCCATCCTCTGCCTTGCAGCTTGGGAAGAGCCTTCCTTCCCTAGATTACCCGCTCCGTGGTCACTTCCCCTTCCTGGGAACAGGCGCAGCGGATGCCGCCACCTGCTGAAACACAAGATGGGCTCTAGTCTAGTGTGGACCAACTGTGATGGCTGCACCTGAGCTGGGGTGACAGCAGGGACCAAACGCACACAAATGGCTGCGCTGGGGTTTGGCGTGTAACTCTGCAGGTAGCACCAGCTTCTCCTGGCACAGCAAAGAGACCATGCATCTTCCATTAACATCCCCGATACGCCAGGCCGAGGCCTGAGCAGGAGCGGACATTGGCCAGCACTTGGGGCATGACGTGACTACTGTGACTACACGGATCTGAATAAAAAGCCCAGGCATAGCTCATTTCCACTATGAGGACCAGCTCTGTGTGGGTAAGACAGGACAGAAGAGCGAGGAAGGGAGTGAAACGAAGGATATTATTGACTCTTGGCTCCATCTATTTGGAAAGGCACTCTAGTAGCTCCCAGGAGTGAGCAGAAAGGAGGAGATGCAGGCAACGCGAGAATGAGTGACTTAATGAAGACAAAATAAACAACAAAACCAGCAAAATAAATACATTCTCAGTATCAATTTTACAAAGCAGCCAGATGGCACTAAATATATCCCCAGCACTTTAGAAAAACCTTTCTTTCTTCCAATCTGATACGATCCTGCAGTATTAATCTCTTCATACTTTCAGTGCCCTAGAGAGACAAACAGCCCGTTCTGGGGGAACTCTGTGATCTTACAAAAAAAGTAGAAAATGCTCTGAGAGTGAGCTGAGATTCAAAGCAGATATTTTTCAGGAAGCTCAAGAATTGGAGGAAGCATTTCACTTAGAAATATTGCCTTAAGCCCTTTTGTAAAGATCCCAAGAGACAGGGAGAGCAAGAAAGACCTGATTCCTCTCTTGACATGTTCTTAACGTCAAGGTCATGCAAGGGTGACAGTGCCACAAAGCTCTGCAGAGATTTCTGCCCACAACCCCAGCAGGGATGGTAACCGATCAATCACAAGAATGTCAGCAATGCTTTTAATATGTGAGCAGAACTGTCCTCATGGGCTGACGTGGCCCTGTGTCATATATGTGGGTCATCGTCTTTGTCCTTATTGTCCGAGTCCTTCATTTCCATTTGGCCAAAAGCAGGGTTGTTGGTTCCCTCAGATGCTGGCGTGAATGGTTTCCAGTTCAACACTTTTACTCTCTCCTGCTAAAAAGCAAAGACAGAAACCATATGAAGTGCAAGAAAGAGCCTCCTTCTCTTTGACCTGCGTGCAAGCTGAGTCAGGTCCAACTTGCACAGCTAATTAGGAGGTCTGGCAGGTAAACACGTGTTGCAGCCAGAACATCAATAGTTTCGCACTGCAGTAGCTGCTATTTTTCTAGGGGCATGGCGAAACCGTTATTGCACATTGTAACTAGTCATGTTAAATGCTCTTTTCGTGTAAAATGTTCTTGTCCTGTAAATTGTGTCTAAGGCTTTTTTGGGTATGCAAAGTTGTAACTGCCACATTCCAGCCTAGCAATCTGTCACACTGGACCCCCAAGCTGTTGTTTGCCAGCCCTTGATCCTTGAATCCTCTTCAACACGAAAAGCAGATTAACACACATTGTCGCTTTTATGCACTATCTCTGTTAAACATATTGAGAGGTTGAGCTCTTAATGTGCAGAAAGTCTCAGTTGCCTCTCTTTTTTTTTTGAACAATAACTTTCTGAATTAGTTGTGGTGCCAACCACTTGCTACCCGACTCCCAGCTCTACAGCTGTGAAGACACTTTTTTTCTGCATCCAGGGAGAAATTAACATTGCTGTGGGAATTAGCTTTCACTTTTTTTTTCTTTTCACAACTTTGGGGATAAAATTTCCAGATGATGAAAACAGATGGCAGTCCATTAAAGACAGTGGAGCTACAGTGAATGACATCAGCGCGATAGCTGGTCTCCAGTGACATGGGCAGAGAGCACACAGCATAGGAAAATGGCCTTCTGTATACAGAAGGCAAAATCCATAGCATCATAATAAAATGGGCTGTCCTCTTGGGGTTTTTGTAACCTGGATCAGTTCTAAGATATCATTGCCTCTACTGCAGCACTTGGAAAGCACTGAACAGAGCTGAGCTTGCATGTTCAACATTGGGAGGACACTGATTGAAAGGTAATCTATAGTTTACTTTAAAACACAAATTCCTCCATTGTAAGGAATGTGTTTTGCACTGTAGCTAATAATTTCTCCCCTTTTCTTTCACCTTGAGGAGGCAGCTAGTAAATAGATACGCTGACTAGAAATGTTTTCCCTCAAACAGTAGGTTATGTTGCAAACCCCCCACAATGCAGAGAACATATGTTTACAAACACCAGAGGCTTTGCTGGGTTCGAAGCGTGCCTTGGGCCAGCTTCCAGGGACTCGTGAGGGAGGTTTTTGGCAGGCACCCTGAGAACAGCTCTCTCTTGTCTCAGCGGCTGTTCTGTTGTTCACTGAAGTCAAGCTGTGGCCAAATAGAGCTTCCTTGCCTATGCCAGCTGCTTTTCCCTCACCCACCTCATGCTCCACCACTGCCATAAAGCACGCAGTCATATCAGGCAGCATCTACTCATGCTACTCATCCCACCAGGATGAATACCCACAAGAGGAGACTGCTTTAAGTCAGCATAAAACTACACTTACTATCTCAGCTTTAGTCCAGGAAAAGTTGGACATAAAGTCTTCTTTGTTCAGCAGAAATTTACGGTCTATCTTCTGTTTCAGTCCTCCTGCAAAACAACCAGGTTTCAATCAACTAGGTTTGGTTTCCACGCGTGAATGATAGGTCAGAGCCCAGCGACGGGCACCAGGCCAGGGGAGCAGGACAGAGGCATACAGCAAAAGCCACCAGGCAATTACAAACTGGATGTTCCTTAGGTTAGAGATCATTTCTTTAAAGAACAAACCCAATAGTGATATCTAGAACCATCCACCCTGAACAGGGCATGTAGCACCAGACACTGCCCTGGAACCAGGGTCCGGGTCCTTGGCTCCCTGTCAGTTCTCCAGAGTAAGGGTAGCCTCACACCACGTCACAATGATTTCTAGGGTGAGTTATTTAAGAGAAGCCAAGCAATCAAGTGGGGTATTGGAGCACTTTTAGGGCATGGAAGATTAGCTGTCTGGTGTGGGAACGTGTGTGGAAATGAAAAGAGATGCAGTGCTGGGAGTTACTGCTGATTTCTACCTGACATTTAAATAGGGTTTTGGCCTGAGTCTAAGGGACTTAAGACACCTTAGATATAGTCTGGTGTAAGAGTTCTCTTTTGGATTTACTGAGTCAGTAGATTTTTCTGCTCTGTTTCTGTTTCACTTCATGGCTTAACAGTGTGGTGGACAGGCTTTAGTAGAGGGGCTACAAATACCTAGATCCCAAGCAGATAAGAGGCAAAAACTTTCCCATGGGCACCTCTATCAGAGCTGTAC